ATGTGTCGCCAGTCCCATATGTGCGATTGACTGCATTCAAATGTATTCAGAACATTTCTTGGCTTCATTGCACTATGCTTTTTATCTACTAACGGTTTTTATGTTGGAGGTATTTTGCATTGAGGAAGTCAAGATCATTTCAAACTTAAAGAGACAGAAAACTAAAATAACATCATTCTGCTTAAAGATCACACATCTTGTAGAAGTTAAAAATCTGTCATTCAAATAGTTACTGGGCTGCCATTGTTGTTTAACATTCCTTGATGGTAACATGGCTCGTTGAAAAGCCATCAAAGTTGCTGCTATGAGAGAAACCAAAAAAAACTGAAAACAGCAATTTGTGTAGGACCAATGTAGGTTTCAGTGTCTCATTTTCGCACCAGCTATTGTCAAAAGACAGTCGTGTGCCGGGTTGTGGTTTAAGTGAAGTATATGGATTGGACCTCTGAGTATATAGCTCATATGTGTATTGTGTACTGAATTTATGTAAAGCTTGGCAGAGAATATACAAAAAAGTTTATTTTCAAAAAAAGCTGCAATATTTTTGTGGAGACGGTGATTTTGAATAGAGTTGGTTGGAGAGGGTAAAATTTATTACAATTTTACTTTGGTGCTGCACTGTTGATACAAGGAGAGACAGTGCAGAATTTTTTGCTTTCTGTTTTTTTCTTTTATAGATTTTACATAAAAGTGCTGTACCTTTGGTTAAGTATGCATATGAAACCTTGTACATTATGTACTTTGTGCCAAAGGCATACATAGCAAAAGGTTGAGTTTGCCCAAAGGAAGTTTTCTTCTACGCGAGGCCTCAGGGCGTAGCCCAAACCTTATTTTTCTTTGTTTTGTCGCCATGGGACTCACGAATGTGACAAAAGACTTGTTATCATTCCTGAAGAATGGGGGAATTCTACCAGGACTTAAACAGCTCTCCTTGTCTTCAACTGCATCAAATTGAAAGCCAGAAAGTACTAATAATAGAGAAGTTAATGTCATTCAAAACCAGTTATTATAGTCAAACTGGTCATGCATAAACAGGGTTGAAGTGACATCTGGATTTAGGTTGAGCTGGTGTTGTGGATTGGCTGAGTATCACTATTGGGAATTCCCTTATAAGCTGCCTCTCATTGGGTTCAGAATTAATGTTTGGCTACCCTTCATGCAAATTCATTTGGAACTTGTGTATCCTTCATACAGGTTGGTTGTTATGACACTAATGTACAATTCTCTGTCCTTTTAACCTAATATTGTTAAAATTTTATAACTGAGACTGGTTCAGTTATGTCTGTATCAGTTCAGCACATAGTATCTTACCAGTGTTAAAACTATTGGTATCTCACCAGTGTTCAAAACATTGATATCTCACCACAGTCATCAGTGTTCAAAAATATTGGTATCTCACCAGTGTTCATAACATCGGTATCTCACCACAGTCACCAGTGTTCAAAACATCGGTATCTCACCAGTGTTCCTGGTGTTTCACAAAAATGACTGGCAGCTAGTTATGGGGTTATAAGACAACTACCATGTCATGATTGCCATTGTGTACAAAAGATGGTAGAATTGATTGTTTTTTTTTGGAAATGGAGTATTGATGAATTTTTTTGGGAGATGGCCTGGATTTGGGTACTAAAGCTGCTTTTGTGTGAGGAAATGATCAGGAAATGGTAGGCTGGCAGCGTGAGTTTTGTTTGCCGAGGGATGATTTATGTAACGAAGGTGTATCCATAAGTTTGGACCTTGAGCCACTTTTTATTTAACATGGCACGGACCCTTGAGCCACTTTTTATTTAACATGGCACGGACCAACTGATCGAGAAGCATGTGCTTTGGCTGTGCCTCATGAAAAGAAGGAGCAATAGATTTAACCTTGCTAAACTGAGTCATTGCACAGTATTAAAACAATGGTATAGCCTTTTCCTGATACATTAGCTACATTTTGCTGAATTTCAGTGACATTTCATGGTAGATAATGAATTTCACCATTGTACAAGTTACAACAATGAAACTTGTCCTCAACTTCTGGAGAAACATTTAATGACAAATTCTTAAGCTGTTTTTTTCTAGCAATGCTTGATTCTGTTGAATATATTTGGTATGCCTGGAGCAGAGCATGCTTCCTTACATGAAAAGTGGAGCAATGGTCCATGCTTTTGGAATGATGTGTTACAGAATGGAATACTATTGTCCACGGAGTAAAGATGAGATGCTGAAGTAGTGATGTGTGAGCACCAAGTATTGAGGACTTCTCTCTTGCCAAGCATAAAAATGGGAGTATAAAAATGTGGAATTTGTTGCGAATGGCAAATAAAGACTTTGTATAGCCAACTGTTTTGTCTTTGTGATTATTTGGATCATGATATATATCTGGATGATGGTTGGATACCCAGGTGATAAGATACTAGTACCGTGATTACAGTTACTCAAGCAGCTGTATAAATTTTGTAGACAGTTTGACATTTCAGATAGCATCCACAACCTTTCTTAGGTGACTGCAAGAGATCTAGTTATGACTTTGCAATCTTAAGAGACACATAATGAAAACACTCATGTTTTGGATGAATGAATTCTCCAACTGCCTTCTGATATTGAGTGTGTATTGTGCATAAGGTATAGATGCAGACACAGGCTGTATTAAATGATGGTTGTGACCACACATAACCTAATTACGATTTATCACAAAATGCTCCCATGTCTTTTCACAACATTGCTAAATTTATCTTGTAGATCAGGGATTTGAATAAAAGCATTATAATAGATTTTGTGCAAATATCTGTAAAACCATAGCATGTCACATGAGTACATTCACTCATAGCTTTTTGATAGACCTTTTTTCAATCTCTTGTGAATACTTTTAATTAATAATTGCGTTTATTTGAACAACTATTCCTTCAGCATTTTGGCTGTAAGCGTATGGGTAAAATTTGAAATGGTTTGAGGTGCATAACAAAGGTTTTCCAATGGAAGCATGTGATATAACCATGTTTTCAGCACCAGGGACAGGTCCACTTACTCATGGTATTAACTATGGTTAGTGGTGTTTATCATCGTTTGTCAATAAAATGAGTGACTCGCTCTTCGTTACACTATCCTTTGATTTTTGCTTTTGGGATATGGGCAACTAAGATTGTATTGATGGCAAATTTTGAACTTATTCCATGCATGATTCTTCGTAGGAGTCAAATACATGTACATTGTACCTGATATTGGTGACTTCATATATTCTACGTCATTTCAACAGGCTACACGTTGCAGTTTCAATTCGACTTTGTTTATTGTAATGAAAATATGTTAACATACAAACACCGTGCACTTTTCTCCTGTATTTCTGTACCTTTTTGCCAACACATACCGCTACATTTAGGCTAAGCTGGTACAGTGAAACATACATGAAAGCTACTCCCTAGATCTAACATGATAACGAAGTCGGAAAACTACAGTTTTTGTGCCTTTCTCTGTAATATATAACAAAGCTACAGTTAAACGATCGCGATACCCCCCAACACTAATATATAATGCACGCAAGCTCCAATGCTGATGCACAAAGATGTTTGGCTGAATTGCACTTGTTCCGGTTGAATTGCTGTCAACTATTTCTTCCCCGTTGAAGCGCCGCCTTGCGGATTGGACGGAGCGCCTGCTGTGGAAGAGGGAGAAAGAAAAGAGACTTGTAAAGGCTACGTAAACACCGGGCAAACATGTCAAAATGCATACTCTTACACCTGTTTTGTCTTAACTTGTGTGCCTAGTTAATTGTCTGCTTTGTAAAGGGTGAGACATTTTAGGAATGAGCGTACATGTCGGACAAATTTTCTCTTTGTTTTTCTGTATCTGTTTTTTTCTCCAGGAGAGAGGGGGTTCAGGGGTTATTTTGGCTTGTCTGTCTGTGTGTTTCTGTGATTCCAAATACAATGTATATATGCAATGCAGCATTACAATACATCCAGACTGTAATTTTGTTCGTATGACTAGAAGGGTGGCAAAGCAGTGTGGGTAAGGGGGTGAAGTCTGCAATCTAAAATTTCCTTGTTACCTTTAGACGTCCATGAAAGTGGAACATTATGTAAAATAGAAAATACATAAAGCAATTGTATAAATTTTTCGAGGAGTCAGATGTTTCAGTTAGCACCCATGTTACCTTTATGTGTGCTGGGCATCTCTGCTCCGTGGCTTTTGTTACCCTGAGGTTGAGTTTTCCGTGAGGCTTCCTTGAGTTTCCTGGCGTCGCCCTGAGGCGAGATATCCAGGTTTGTGGCGCCCTGGTTCGTGAAGTCTTCTCTCCCGCTCATGGCCAACAGACGGCTGCCGTGGGCGTCACAGATCGTTTTCTGTAAGGACAAGAAAGGACCTGATTTAGGTATCTAACTCCAGCTCAGAATTTAAAAACAAGAAGCAGGCATATAGTAGTACCAAAGTTAGCAACTAAGGATTGAGGTGTCAAAATAAATTTCTTCTTTTTTTCCCTACAATAATCGAAGAGAGAAACAACAGTTGCAGTTAGATGTTCAAAGGTTAGGTGTTACAGATGGTGTGTTACGCGGACAATGTCTGGAAATACACACTGACTCAGAAAATAGTCCAGGAAATGGTAGAAAAAAATTGTACAGTTAAAAAGAGCCGAAGCAGTTCTCTTCATGGCATCAGGCAAACGTTTGTGTTAACGTTTAATTTAAAGAAATGGACAGGTATCCTTCTTATATTAGACAATGAAAACGGCCTCGGTAGGAAAGCAAAACAAGCTTAAATGCAGATTTCTCAACATCCACAAGGTGGCGTTTGTGCACATTGGAAACGTCATCCATCATAGCAGAAAGGCATACAAGGCATTGTGTAAACATTGATCTTTAAACACTGCAACTTTATGTTAGACTTGTCTCAATGCAGTCCTCGTATCTAGGCACCGTGCCATATGCTTTTTGCTAACGATACTACGGACCTGGCTAATACATGTGATACAAACATTGTAACACTGGATGGGTTTTAATTAAACGGAAAATGATTTTTGTTACATCAATTAACACGCACTGGTAAATGAGAAGTGATGAGTGTGCCATGATCCCTTTACATTGACATGTAACAAAGTATTATGAGAAAGAAGAAGTATACGAAGTTTCGGATCATGTTCTGTTCCCATTTCCCTTTTCGTAGATTCGCCAAAAGTAATACGACACCAAAAATGGACAAGACCATTCACTCAATGGGGGAATTAGGTCCCACCAAAGCTCACATAAATCTGTGCAACCTTGGTTAAGGGTAATATTACAGGGGAAGTACACTGGCCGCCAGAAATCACAGGTTTAGACACAATAAGTCTTTCAAAAGAACTGCCTACGCTTTGCAAGGTTTAGAGTGAAAAGCCATGATGTAAAAAAAAAACAGAAATGACTGAGAAAAAATATCCAAATTATCAATGTGAAACAAACTGTCCATCCGAACATAAAGGTCCCTACGCCCCCCCCCAAAAAAAATTGTCTCTCCCCTTCCCAGTATTTTCTTCCCCCTTACGAAAATCCCACCCAAGACTGTCAGAACGTACCTCAACCCTAGCCATTGTTGCGATGATAATAATATCTGATGATGAGTGTTACAGCTATCCCGTCCTTGTTGGTTCTGTCTCCATCTAAAGAGTAACTGACTAGCATCTTCCGCTACGGAAATACGGAACGGTACACCATTCATCCAGTCATATGGCTAGAACGTCATCGGTTTCAGCAGAACTTCCAAATATGGAATGCTGGTGCCATCATTTTTCATCGTTTTCAATCCGTGGTCTCTTGTCAAACGTTGATATATTCAGTACGGTATTTAGCGAAAAGGTACATGATGTCATGAATTTCCCAGGGAACGCCAGGCGGCGCTTATTCCTCACTTGCATGTGTCATTACTTCAGTTTAATAATGTATATATGTAGACAAACACCGTTTCTTTTTTTTCTCGTAATATGCCAGCAGGATGCAAAAATGTACCGTGGTTTGCTATTGCATTACACGTTCAATACAACCTGGTCGTATGATGTTCGTAATGCAATATTAGAGTGGCTTACTGGCGGTACGTTATAAAGTCGGCCATGCAGTTTGTCAGGTATTCGATAGACGTCGCTATACACCTGTCGGTAACGCGCGTCTGCCTCATCTACTAGTCGACCTCTGGCTGACGGAACAAAACAAAGCAAAGCTGTACGAGCTGATCTATGAATGAAACCCACTCCCTTACTTGTGAATACTTCATGTCATAACCTTCGTTGCAGGACGTTTTTTTTTTGCAATTTCACCCAATATTCTTATAGCTAACGTTATCGGATCCGACAGAGTCTGCAACAGAAGCCTTTTTTAAGAAAACGAATAATTTCGAATGGATACGCAGTTAGTCTGATATAACCTTGTTTATTCTCAGAGGTCACTAATACACCCGATCCAACAGGAGCCATAGTGCTGTGTATCAGAATATCACATAAAGTTATCAATTTGAGACTTAAATTAGAGAATGACGTGGATATGTTAGAGAATTCGTTAGATTTCTGTCAGCTGTCAACCCCCTCCCCTCCTACCAGTCCGGCCACGTTGAAAATCAAAAATACTACGCGCATGCTCTCTGATGGCGCAATCTCTTCCGAACAAGTCAATACTGTTCAACAATAACCAGAACGTGCAGCTGAGTCTGTTTTCCACACATAATTCAGCTAATTTCGTAAGACTATGGCTCAAGGGTACAAAAGCGGGGGTCCTGGCGACGGAGATTATTGGGGTTCTGACCCAAATCGTACTAGGGGCTCGACAGTACAGGGCTTCAAGCAAGGTAAGACGGAAACGACTTGGAAAAAAATCTAACGACGCCTGACGAATAGCTTTGTACAGCCATATCATTAGACAAAACAAGACATATGGATATGGGTTACCATTGCCAATGGCATCTACAATTCCTTGTCAGTAGGGATACGACACTTAACATGGCTTAAAAACATAAATTTGACATAGCAGTTATTTATCATTACTTCTAACCCCCTCGGGCCGCCAAACAAAGCTAGCTTGCGAAGAATTTCCGCCATTTTAGGAAAGGGAAGAGATATGACACCGGCACAATATCGTTAGGACATAGTCTCGGGATTTTCGTCTCTTCACATTGTTCAGCGTAATTAAACTCTCAGTATTTTTGTTTCACAGTTCCTTCGGCTCCCTACAATTTGAGGTGCGAAGCCAAGTCGTACCAAGAAGCCACCGTGTTCTGGGAGTTACCTACAGGGAAAGAGATTTCCTCCATCAACCTCCAGCTCTTCAAGGACCAGGGCTATGGATCCTGGAGCAAAGTCAAAGAGGACTCTTTTGAGAGTACCACACGTTCGGTTACAGTCACCACCAGTGGTCCCTTGGAAAAATACGCACTGCAAGTACGGGCTGACAACCGCTTTGGGCACGGAGACCCTGAAAGTATCAAGTACGTCTGAAATGTCCTGTTTTAACCAGTTCACACCGCAGTCTGTAAAATCAGATCTAGCAAAACCGTTGCACGGATATAATTAATCTAGAACTTTAGAAAACACTGTAACATTGGTCGGATAATAGTATATAGAATGGACAGAGCTACGCGTACCTTTATGTGACCAAGTAGTTTCAAATAGACATTTCCTACCAGCATTTTCATTAAGCGGACAGTTTCGAGCAGGGTTTCACGTTACAAATATGGTTTAAATTTTCTCAAACATTATCACAGACATAGCCCCGATTTCTACCCATAATCTGAAGACAATTTTGAATTCAGTGAATTTAACACCTGACGACGCTTTTTTTGTTTACACTGAACGACACGAATAAATATTAAACCTGTTATACAGGGGGTTACACAGTAAATTTTACCGAATCATTGAAGATCACTTCAGTAAACTGTATCAGATACCAGCCTAATTAAAGTGGTCTTTTTTCATTGAATTGGTATTAAAACTGACAATGCATTAATACATTGCACATATAAATCTATTTGACAGAAATGTCTAGAAATACTTTAACAAACTATGAAGTAGACAAGTTGATATTTTTGTACCAGTTTTTGTAATGAACACTACACATGAACAATGAATGTTTACACTGTATTTTGTGCCAACAGGCTTGGATAAGTGGTTTCGGTAAGACTATGGAGTTAAGAAGACTGTAACCTGGTGACTTCTACTACGGTCTGGGACCACCACGTCTGCAAATTATCTTATGTTCAAATACTCTGGCTTTAGATTCTCTTAAATGTATACATAGCGTATTTGGTTTCGGATATTATTTGTCAACCTGGGTTAAGGGACCAAGGTACAAGGCATTATTGTCAAACATTGTTATTTTCTAGTTATCCATGTAGGTCTATACTGTATACAGAGGAATTAGTATTCTTACGCGATGGCTGTAACATCGTTTTAAAACATTAAATTAAAACATCTTCGTTATGTAAGTTATCATGTATTTAGTCTAATATCCATGCACTACCTATAAGGGGAACCTAATGTTTACTAACACGTGTTCGTCTGTAGATTACGTTTCTCGTTCAACATCGTTTGTAAACACTTGGTAGTCAGTAAGGCCATGTTGATTTGATTATATGGATGACATCCGCGCGCGCATCAATTTTCGGCCGTTTCCAAAAAAAAAAGTTTTCAACCATGCTGTAAATCGTACAAAACAGTTGCAAAATGAGCAAATATATACTGTAAGTTGCACAAAAAGTATTGGAAAACAATAACAATGTCGTAGAATGTCAAAACCAAACGAAAAAGACGAAAATGTAAAGAAATTAATTTGAAGAGTAGATTATTCACCATACCATACCCTGTGTCATTTGTTCAATCTTCATGACCACGTAGATTTCATAATGAAAGCAACTTTTTTTTTTTTGCAAAACTTTTTTTTTATTCGCACGCTCGCATCAGTTTTGGGGTTCCCAGAGGATGTCATCCATATAATACAATAAAGGTTATTATTATAATCAAATCAACATGGCCTAATGTACTATGATAGCTGACATACATGGCAATATCTTGATCTTTGCTCATTAATTTTCCATTGTACGTTTGTTTGTTCTCTGGTCACCTTTGACATTAATATTGGGATCTTCCTAAATGTGTTGAAAAATGTTTGCTTTTTCCAAAGACTTATTAACGTATTACGTTATTAAAATTATGGCATTATCATTCATCTCACAATAAAGCCCTTTGCTTTGTCTGCAACAAGTGTCATGAGTGATTTATTAATTTCGGTCTTATTATTTACAGCTCTAAAAGCATGGATTTTATATATATATAATGTTAGTTATACAGTTCATATTTTGCCAATTCATTATTGATGTTGGAGATATAAATTCACATATTTCCTTGGCTTAAACTTTATTCGAAGAAGAGAGGATATAAAAGACCAACAGTCGTGTCAAAATGTGCAGTCTGCCCCCTTCCCCATACTGTAATCAGCTGTTCTGTTTATCAAATATCCACCCACCGGAGAAAACTTCGATGGTGAATTTCTGCGCATGACTAATAACACATCACGGGTATCCACGTTAAATCAGTCCACAAATCTGATTTGTAACGGAGAGTTGGGCAACTTACACCGTTCTCAAAATGCCACAGGCCAACAAATCATCAGGTAGTGATTTTGATACTATAGAAATCCAGATGGAAGAAAACCAATCGCTGGGAAGTGCAGCACAAGGTTATCCGTACAGATCAACAGGTACGTTTCAAGTAGAACAATAAGACATGAATAAGAACAGAAGTTTGATATCTTCAGGATACATTCAGGCAGCTCGTAGCCAAGTCCAACGTAGGTCGATAATTGCAAGAAAATCGTTTAGCACTTTTTTTTCTAAACACTATTTCAAAAATAATGCAGGCGTAATGACTGCTGTGTTTTGTTTGGGGATAGGAGGTTGTAATTACATACAAATGGCAAATTTTCATTTCCCAAAAATGACACAGAACGTCTTACAACATTGTTATGTTGTAAGACGTAACAGACATAAACAGACTTACATTTCACTCCTGAGACAGATATACATGTTCCTAGAACCACAAATAAAGAGACGCATAGCCCTACAATACTTTTTTTTTTTACAAAATGTCCTGTTAGACGAGCTGGAAGCATGCACATGTATATTATGATATTACTTTTGTCCAGCTCATATTAGACAACATTGTATTTTTCCATATCAGAGAGATACAACCCACCACAGCCTGCAAGATATTATTACCAAGAACCGAATGACGATTGGGGTAAGTTTTGTTTTTATGTATATTCTAGCCAAAAGCCTAGCCTTGTTTTTCATGTCAGTGTCGCTACATTTGGTTGATAGCGCGCCTGTCAAAACTGACGAAAACAAAAACATCTCTCCGGATTTCAGGCTAGAGAACTCTCCCAGTCTTTCGTACAACCATACACTCTATGATCTTTTTCAATAAACTCAGTTTTAGGTTTGGATTTTATGTTTTTTATGATCATAATGTAATATAATTCCCGGTGGTCACGTGGCAAGATTCTATTGTGCTACGAGTACGTCATTCATACGGCAGGACAAAAAAGGAAACGAAAACAGTTTCGACCTCACCAAGAGACACGTAGTTCGGCTTGCGTTCGGGGAAAGGAAGACGCCCTGCAATTTCTTTTTCTTGCTGAATACTCTGTCTGCAAAATGGCACAGTGCCTCAAGAGTCACAATGATGATTCTGATAGATGCTGTAAATATTTTTTCACGATATCAAGTTTTGTACTTTGTCTTTGTAGCTTGGAACAGACGCAAATTCCGGCAAAGTGTGTGACGTTAGACGCTGATAAATACCTGGAATTTTCTTTGCAGGAAATAATGCGTTTTCACTAGTCTAAATATCACCGCTGCTGTTTTTTCTAGGCTGTTTCCTTGGTGAGACAAGTGTACAGCTCCGTGATGGCCGTAAAGTCGCGATGAAGAATCTGAAGATCGGAGATTGGGTTCGAGTCGTCAAGCCGGACGGTAGGCTTGCCCTCAGCCCGGTCATCGCCATGTTGCACCGCGAGCCCGACAAGAAGACAACCTTCTTGCAAATCTACGTCGAGGGGAAGGACGGGCCAGTATGTCTGACCCCTGACCACCTGATATATGCCACCAACAACCCACGGGGAGGCTTCGGTAGGTTTTTTCTATATTATGAAATTTCACACTAAGTTTTTTTTGTTTAATCCAGGCATTATGGTTGCAATAGTATTTTCTTGGATAGCTAAAATGGCGGTTAGAACTGCGTCATTCTTAAAGTTTTGTTTGCAGCCAGTGTTCAAAATAGCTACAAACGGAATCACTTTCTTCTTTAGGGCGTCCTATCTTTGCGAAGGCTGTAGAAGAGGGCATGTCGATCTTTCTGGCCAACGAAGAAAGCGGGAAAGTGGCCCCTGCCAAGGTGCGAGAGATAAAAGAGATGGAATCAACTGGCTTTTGCGCGCCCCTTACTAAAGAGGGAACTATCCTGGCGGATGGGGTAGCGGCTTCCTGCTACGCCGTCTTCAACCACGGCATCTCTCACAAGGTCTTCGCTCCGCTCCGTCGCTTGTACGGGCTGAAATCAGCCATGGGAATTGGAGGGAAGGAGAAGGAGGTGGTTAAAAAGGGCGTTCACTGGTACCCCAAAGCTCTGATGAACGTGAACAAGTTTTTGTCTTGGTTCCATGTGCAGCCCGCTACAGCTGGCTAGCTATAGCCATGTATTAAGGGGGCCCGCATGTCCTTATTCAGATGAATGGCCCTAAAGATAGCTTATGTGATATAGAATGCATATCAGAGAGAAATCCTTGCTGACCTACTATTTCTATGGCACAGTCTTACTATTTTTGCTGTTTTATTTCTTGAAATAGAGCTGTTGTAGACGCGAGCTAGGCTATGATTGGTATGTCCCGTACAAAATCCCTGAAATTATGCTTGTTTTACTTCGTACGTTGATTTTAAAAATATTACAAACAGAGCTTCTCTAGAATTCACAAGAACCAGTTTGTTACTTAACAATACAGTGAAGCACCCAGCTCAGTATGAAGTTGGCTTATGAATATTTCTTTCTTTTGCAACAAATTAACAAGATTTCGGTGAGCATAGTGTTTTCAGTCATACTAAGCATATACATCAGAGTAAAAATCCTATTTCCGATTCCCAGTTAGCTTTTTGTGTAAACAGGTGTTGGTAAGATGTGTTGGTTACAAATTGCAGACTGCTAAATTAAAACCTTCGAGTTCGTACTTTGGTTAAACAGCTAACACAGTTAAATGTTTGGTATGCAACATAGATAAATAATTCTTTTCTTAGTCGTTTCGTTGTACTTTTTGTCTTCTTAACAGAACATACAAGCATAGCCAGGACAGATAACGGCCATATACCTCTAAACGTTTAGAAAAGTATGATTCTGATGTGAAGGGAAATACTTATCTAGGCAGTGGACTAAAAAGTACCGTTTGCGTATTGTACACACATGTACTATATTTGTATGGACGCGAACCATCGCTTCATTTTGTTACGGACTCGGTCATGCTGACACAGTGATTGAAGGTTTAAGTTGACCTACTATACAGAATGTTTCTCGCGATGAACGTTCACAAAAGTCGAACTTCTATGCACCCCCCCCCCAAAAAAACAACAACCCTGTTCCTCACGGCTTCTACTCATTCACAGTAGTACATATAGCTACATGAGTTCAAGTCACACTAAACTACACACCACGGCTTATCAATCTATAGTATCATTTATGGTGTGTATGAAATATTATGAAATCAGAAATAACTGCCATCCCAGTAATATTCAGTTGTTATGGAAACACTGGAATTGTTGAAACTTGTGTATGAAAAAATAAAACTATTTTAACAACGTCTAATAACCAGCGAAACAACTCATAATATTCCACCAGACATGATACATATTCTTATATTTTCGGAGCTTGATATAGTTTGACTGAAGGGATACTGTGTATTATTATTTAGGAAAAAACTAATACCTTAAAATACCTAATATAAATATAAGAAATTTTATACTAGAAAATTGAAGTAAGTCACAGGTTTTCGTGTTTCAGTTCTATAAAAGACGTCGCCTGGACCATTACTTGATCTGAAAATCTAGAAATGTTGTGTTCGGTGTTATATATGTATCTATATATATATAAACAGATAAATATTATCTTATAACGCATTTTTGTTGAGTGCAAAAACAATGATTGAAGTTTCAGAAAACATTATTATGCTAAATTATTGGAACCAAACAATTCCCTAGACACTACGCCATAAAATAAAGAAATAACAAAGACTATTGGATGTTAAATTAGATATTTCTGTTTTATATACATCCGCAATCGATCAGAATTAATTCTTGAATGATAAAATGAATAATAGGAAACATTATGCAATGATTTTCGTATTCTACATATGGTATAGCCTCATTTTGCCTGTAGTGTGTTTGTCTCTCTCAGCACGTTTTCATCTTTCCTACAGGAGAAACGCCCAAAGGGGCAAAAATTTCCGAAAAAACACATTCATATGATACCCAATAATTACAAATATGACATATGAAATGATTTCTTGGATCTACAGGTGAAAACAGGGCTCTTAAGACTGCATCATGAATGGTTTCAGGCGTGTTTTGGTGCTCAGACTTGGGTGAGAAAACCCCTTTTGTGGGCCCCAGTCTGCACCGGCAGTCTGTTGCGCAGGTGTGCTGAGTCCAAACATTCCAAGGACATCAATCAACCGACACTTCTCAAGTCTTTGTCTTGATAAAAATGGTTTCCATAGAGACAGAAAGCGTGTCTTGACCCCTAGCTGGTTAAAATTGGTCACCTCTAACAACTCATGGGTTAAAAGCTCACCTGGTCAGATCCTTCAACTGACCAAAATTTGCGTCGATGTTGATATTACACTTACATGTTTTGGACTACTTTTTCCTTCAAGTTTGTAATTTTGCATTAGAAATATGAAAACTCTGTTGACATGTTGTTGGTCCCATCAATCAAGATGAAGCTACGTAAATGCCTGACAACAAAGGCATGTCGTAAAGCGATGCCTGGCTTCAAGCGTAGCCTTACAAATGACCCCACCTTTGAAAGGGGCCTCCGAAACCGGACGCACCCCAGCCGACGCTACAAGAAACATTGATAGCTTACATCTGGGGGTCTAGAATCTGGATTATATTCAACAAATGATTACTTCGTAAAATATTAAATCAAGACAAATTAATCATAATATCGTAATGGAAACTGAATTTGGTTCAGGGGAGAGAAAACACCTGAGGTGTTGGTCTCACCCAAGGACACGTACACGGATACTTGAGTGAAGGGCAAGGGGACCGACACAAAAATATATACCAAACAAGAGACATAATCTTTCTTCTCACATGACGAAGTGACTTTTAAGAAAATGCATTTGACATTAGGAATATACAATACAAAGTATCCCATTGGTCTCTCGGAAAAGCCATCATTGGGTCTTCAGGACACTAGACGAAATAAGTTCGACTACTTTCTCATGCCTATGGCGTATCACTTATTCGAGGTGATTTTGTTTGTAGTAATAAGAACAATTTATGCAAGGCTCCTATAGATTGGTGACTACCTAATTTGAATACAAGTTAGACACGAAAACAACGCTACGGCTTTGTTAAGGTCTGGAATTTTCCACCGAAAATAGGCATAGTGTCGATTGTCGTCAACCTAGATGTGATAGAAAATTGCCTTTTGAGAACACCCTTGGCCACCGACGAACATCAACAGCAATACCAAAGACCTTCCCATGAACAACACCAAGAGGCAAGGCCCAATAGTTCCAATATACTTCCAAGGCCAGTTGATTTGTCAAGACCTTGTTAGGCCCCTGGCAACATGGCCTCTTGCCCGGCCACAGCATACAGACACAACATTTTACAACGTGCATTGGCATTGTCACCTGGACCTGAACGACCGACCGGCTACACTATTCTGCGTAAACGATCGACCTAAAATTAAATAAAACCTCACCCTAAAAACACTCCAAAACTAACTGGTAGTCTCATACAATGATAAATCTGAGCCAAGTTTCTCGCTGCGCCCTTTATAAAACGACCTGCACTAAAACTACACGTCAGTGTTGTATTTGATTTTACATACAGTAGTACTCGATCCACGTTTACTGGGACCTAATGATACTGTTAATATTTTTCTAACTTTGATTATGTCCAGTTTATAACGTTTACAACGACATACATAACGTTTAATTACTGTGGTAAGCCATATTGTTAAGTGTAGGCTAACACGAGCCAGGGGGAGTAAAAGAAACATAATGGACATTTCACATAGTACAAATTAGAAATAAAGCATGGAACTTACCAAACGTTGAGGTCGCCTTGAAGGCCTAGACGCGTTGAATCTGTCTCGCACAAATTCCGGACTGTTTTCCGATGGGAATGTAATCCAAAAAGGAACGTCTCGGGACTGCTTGCGAAGGGCCAAATGTCCTGTCGAGCAAAGAACGTGTAAATAATCCGGTCAAGAACGGATCTAACCTGTTGTGCAGCGTTATTGTTAGATAGCGTGGGGTAGATTAGGGCTGTCGCCTTGGGTCATGGTCAAAAGAGTGATCGAGTGTTTTTATGTATTTTGTCTAGTACAAAATTTAAAGAACGTTGGTATTGTGCAGTTTGTTAGTATATGTTCGTTTTGTTTTGTGTACATTTTGTGTACATACGAGTCCAAATAATTTAGGGCATAGGGCAAACAGGCTGATACTAAGGGAATAGTATAGAAGACTCTGGAAAATAGTCTACAGCAGCTTTTCTACTTTCTAGACACTGTCACCGCATGAATCACATAGTTCAAGAAAAGACCAGGCACGTTGTATATATATACACAGTAAATTGTTACTATTATCGCCAAGAACACATGCGTGTTGTAATTATAACTGGTATCCTCATCTGAAGCCGCCATGTTTGCTGTACTGTCTAGGTGTGTAGACACAAAGGAACATCATAAACACTTAAATGATGCATGTTTAAACTTTTCCCCCAAAAATTAATCTATCAACTAATTTTATAGATGTAGGTCTTAATTTTGAGTAGATATGAAAATGAACTTGAGTTGATATCAAGTGGAGTTTCTAGATCAGGGAAACGTGATCTAGATAGTGACTGATAGTCAAACTTGGTGGCATTTTCGTCTTCTTAGAAGTCATTAGAAGTTTAAAAACTTGGCAGAAAACTTTCATGATTTCATGTAAGTAGTCTCGGTAATGACCTCATCGGCGAACAATGTGCAGAAATGATGTAGTGCACGGAGTCGACCAATGATATGGACGATCTTCTTAAGGGGAATCACCTATATACAGAACTAGGCATAAAAGACGCGCGATTTTGCAATACGACATTTAACGAACTTCGCCTTTCAGACACTGAAAAACTTCTGAGACGTTTCAAACTTTTCAATTCTACTGACAAAACAGCATACACTTTAAATCATGGACGAAGAAATCAGTCCTGAAATGGGCATTCTGATAGGAGTTGTTGTTGTGGTCCTTGTCATCTTTGTCGCTTACAAGGTCGCACAAGCTTGCAAGTCATCAGGCAGTGGCGGCGGCGGTGGAGGCGGGAACTATACGCGCGGATCTAGCAGCCAGGGGTCCAAGTGTGTCATCTTATAAAGATCCCCATGAAACATTGTAAGTCGACATCTTTATACGTTCACTCATTTTGTTGCGAATACAGTTTGTAGTGATATTAATGCGAATGCAAAAGAGGGTGGACCTCATGTAAATTCAAATACGCGTGTGACACCGAAACATGGTGACACGTTACGTTAACCGAAAAGTGTTTATAGAATTAAAGGTATCTAACAAAGCTTTGTTGACCACAAGTTACTAATAATATATTGATTTCAGGCTATACAGATAGCGGCTATGGTGTGGAGGCAGTGCCGAGTGGTGTTCTACTTCAATCACAACTTACGGGTGTGTGCTGGAAATAAAACAGCTTGACTCGGGTAAAATGGAGGACAAGCAACACAACAGATCACACATTCGTCATGTCACCAACTTCATCCACACGAACTGGATAAACTACAGTAATAAATTGACTTCAAGGACACTACTGTCTTCATTTAAGATGTCTATAGCTACACTCTAATAGACAACATTACAGAGCATGAATTTCAGACTCCTTGGGATTAGTCTACAAGATTTTAGTAATAGCATTGTTTACATGTACAGTAAATGAGTAATAATATTCGTCTATTCCCGAGTCTCCTGGCTGTTACTGTTTATGTAGTGTTGGTGTTTTTGCTATTTTATGTCAGATATTCAAGTACACATTTGCTAATACTTACGCCAATTATACCTGGGCACAATATCAACAGCTTTCGCTGAACAGAAGATCATGTACAATGACGACTTGCAACAAGTCAGAAATCTTCAGCATGGTCTACTTTTGCTAATCTATGCATGGAAATCACGAAATGGTGATTACTACATATAGTATGGATATTTACCTTTTGTGAAACATCGTTGTGAGAAATAATATACAGTAAATAGATTTGATCATATATGGAGTGCTTGCTCTGTGAATTTCAATAAAATCATTTTTCAAACTCAACTAGTGTTTTGAGTTACCTGGGAACAATTGTACTCATTGAATGACTGCAGTAGAATCTTGCGTTCAGGACTCTACTCGCTATGAACACACCGACTGAAGTATTATTTATACATAATAAATAGTCTGCTTATGTCGCTGTTATTGCTGTTAGCTTTATATATGTATTTCAAACGAGTGTGTGTTCGTTATGAAAATTGTAGCATATTATGACGGAAATGCGATCTAGATAGACACGGGGTAAGCATAAGGAGTTCGATAGTAACGTACAGCCGAAGCCGCATACCCGTATTGTCCTAACGACCGCTTGGCACTTCTTTGACTTTGTATTTGTCTCGATCAAAAAACATACAGTAGCAAACACACATGGAACCACCCGATTTACCAAAGTACCTGTACCAGGGTACAATGGTTGACATAGGGGGATGTTTAAGGTTACATGAAGTCTGTCTGTACAACTATAGTTACATGTATGAAATATCAAAACGAAGGCTTAGGCTTTGTGTTGTCTGAATAGAAATATCACCTACACATGTAAACACACGAACGTTTGCAGTAACTCGTCTTCATAATGCAACCTTTATAAGATCCAAAACGTTAAAGATGAGTATTTAAGTCTTTTAAGAATATTTACGAATATAAACACAATTACAAGTTCAATATATGCTAAAAATGTGAACATTTAACGGAAAGTACTTCAAACGACACAGAATATTCTAGCAAAGGCCACGTCACCATGCGGGAAGCACGCAGTTTGGGAGACTGCGCATGCGCAGTCGATATTTTAACCATTTTGATGGAGGATTCTGCGTACAAGGAAAAAGGAATTTCATTCTTTGAAACGTCACTTTTTGGCGATTGTCAAGATCGTCATTTAGCAGGCAAACAAATAAGAGCTCAGTAGACGATCGACAGCTCGTCGCTCGCGAGGATACCACACACCACTCACCATGGCAGACGATAAAGACGAACAAAATAAGAAGAAGGGATCCAACGTTGAAGCAAACAAGTCTCACGGCGACGACAAACGGAAGGAAAGCTCTGAGAACAAAACCAAAGGTTCTACCGCTCAAGGAGCCAAGAGCCATCATGATGAGAGCTGGTGCTCTCTGATGTAGCAAGTAAGTATCACATAATAGTGTTATCATTTTGGTGTTTGTGATTTAGATGAAGAAGGGAAAGGAATTCGCAAAAAAAGGAAAGGACGACATCAAAATAATTAGCATTGGTTTCTTTCCTTTTTTAAGGTTAGGTGATGATGGAGACACACACACCACATTCTCATCTGCGAATTACACCAGAGCTGAGCTCGAGACAAGAGAGAGAGGAGAGCAACAGCTGGGAACTAGAACCAGGACGGAGGAGCGTACAAACTCAGATGGACGGAGTAGGATCTTATTTTTAGTACACCAAACAAACAAACAAACAAACAAACCAAACAACCTGTGCCACAGCTAACACTGTAAAAGTGAAACTCCAGCTACTCCAATTCTGATGTCGGGCATTCGTCGAAATTACAGCCCTTGGATGTTCGGTTGGGACATGATTTACAACACCGTATGTAAGGCCCCTGAGCTTTTCAACAACAACTGTCTATCACAGTGACTATACCCTCAACATGGCTGTCATGAGCTGACACTTAACGTCCTGATCATAGTTTCTCAGTTTTGAATTACTAACAACCAATTAATAGAGAACCCTCCGATATATGCTCTTAATTTCCATTTAATGCGTTGAATCATAATCAGGAATGTGTGGAATTATAGTATAGAAATAGCTCTCAATGATATGCTTTCTTTAGTTTTGCTTTCAATTTCGTGGTGTTAAAATTATTTACTTTAATATTAAAGCATAGTATCGAGAATACTATCACGTAGTCTGAAACGTCTGACGTTTTCAAAATCATATCCAATTGCTTGAGTAACTGCTTTTGGCGTATCACGTATTCTAACCAACATCTGTCAATCAGCTTTACAGTTGGCGTCGAGAATGGCAATTTAGGCTACTGTTGTATTAATAAACTTGTAAAACTCAACTTGGTCCTTTACTCATTCACAATTCACTCAGCGATAATGTTTCCCTAGTCGATACCTCTGATAGCCACATGAGCAAATTTTAAGTTACTGTAGTAAGCCTTTAAGTTAGTTTGTTGATGAACTCATAGAAATACATAGATACAAATTATTGTAGTAACAACCATGTGAGCTCACTTGGACGTGTTGGTTGTCACTGAACATAATACTGATTCCTTCTTACGGAGTACAGTGTAAACACTTACGAGACTGCTATATAAACCGTATATACAGTAGACCAGAATCATATGTCAGCAACTGAAAGGCAACCCGTATTTGTTTTTGTAGATTATACGTAGTACGCAGTGTGTACTTCCTGTAAAAAAACTCGTCTGTTACGCCAAAAGAGTGTTTACTGGTTTTGCGAAATAAATAATCAAGCAAACAATTTATGCGATTCCTGTATTCGATCGCCTTTGTCTCGGTGGCATAGCATGAATCAGAAAAAAGTTGTGTCAATCCAAGCTTCCGTAGCAGGCTTTTAGAATTGGGGGTTTGGTGGTCTTCGGCTGTTTTCTGATTATCCCAGTTCTAAACGAGGGTAATTCCACCAGGCCGGCTATATTGTCTATATGCAATCAGAAAATAGCACATAAAAGCTCCCAAAGACCCTGAAGACCCCAGTTTTTGGCATGCTATGGAGGCTATGTCAATCCGTCTACAAATGTGGTAAATTTATATGTATATAAACGACTAAATTAAAAAAATTAAGGCGATGCTCAGCTCGTATTCGGTCGCCATGATCCGGTCGCCATGGCATGCGTTGGAAAAATGTTGCACGAAACCAGACGACGAATTTCAGGTCAAAATCGTCGAAATAGTCCCCAAAAGCTAATCATATGTCGAGATAAATACTCACATAGTATAGATTTAGCAAAAAACATGTATGATAACAAAGATATTTATACCCTATACGAAATATTGTCGCAATAATGTGCGTACTTATAATGTTATATTGCAGATCGGGCCGCATGCCGGAGTGCGACTACTGCGCGAAACCATACGGCGAGCTTGAGACCAAAAACCTGACATTTACCTCCAAAAACTAACCTAACGCCAAGAGAAACACCCAAATAGTACGAAAAATCTAAAGAAGTCTATTTACAAGTGGTAGCTGGTGTACGTTTGATATGCTTACGTATATGTTGGTTAATGTTCATGTGGACAACATCATGTCGTCTAGGCAGACTGGTTTTCACTGTGTCCGAGCAAGGGAGCATTTCCCCTCAAAGTACACAACAGTTAGACGACAGAAGCTTCTTTAGGTGTACAGAAAGTACTATTACTAGAAATAAGACCAAACAGACGGACATTTTCTAGAAGTGTGCCAGTATCTTTCATTTTTATACATCGAGGCAGACGAATAGGTACAATATATTCTAATGTTCATTTTAAACGCAATAACATTTTGATAAATTCTACATTTATAATCTTGGTGTCATCATTAGTGAATCCTACGCTTTTAAATGGTGACTAGTGCAGTTCGTACAAGCTAACAAGGTGCATTTAGGCTAGCTTGACATTCAGTATTTGGGTGTGGTCAATTTAGATCAAAGGCGTCGTTTAAACATGAGTTTTAATTTTTAGAATGACATCCATCCACAATCATCTATAACTGTGTCAACTAAATCAAAAGACCGTAACGCTGAGAAGATAATTTTGCCTTTTTCTTTTAATTATTTTCCCATTCCCACTCAGCATAGCAAATATCTAGTATTGTCATACCCCCCTAAGCGGGCCCCCATTCACCTATATGCCCTGTATTATCAAAACCCGTAGCCAGACGGTTACTACTTAAGTTCAAACTGCATTGCGCAATGACACCCAATGCCGTCACCTCCCGCCACAAAACAAGATAGAACACGTACCGATTACGAAGGGAAATTCCCCGGCAGAATGTTCCAGAAAGAATAATTTTAGCAAAGGGACTTTCCAAACCTACAAGAGCGAAGAACGCTTTGTTCGATCACGTCATGTGACACATATATACAAGCTCCGGAGTCACCCCCTCCGAGTTTATTTATTTAAGATTACTTAAGATAAAACCGTCTTCATAGATCTTTATAAGACCAAATCATCTTGCTGTAATTGTATTTTAGTTGAATTATACGTTTCTTACTCAACAACTTGAATCGAACTTTATATCATTTCGAATTCATAAACGTTGTCTGCATATTTTAACTATTCAGCGTGTTTATATCATATATTTTTAAGCAAATACTTTGATGTGTCCGTCGAAAATATAGTGCATTACTTTGCTTGACCATTATCATCTGGTAAGCTTCCAGATATTTGCCTTCCTATGTGTCTTCCTGTCCGTCAAGCTATAGACGTGAAACGCCGTCTATCGTAGAGGGAGGGGACAGCAGAGAAAAATTGCATGAGGCCCATTTCCACAGACCACAAGTCGTTGGTCATTGAGATCATTAAAGATCGATCATTCAAAGATCATTGGAAGTACTTGAAGATCATCCAAACACAAATTTGTAGACCCTGGAGATTATATGAAAATCAGTTGAAGACTTTGGAGATTTTCGCGTGATTTTTCTTTATAGTTTTAAAACTTCTAGAATCTAGTTGCATTATACGTACATGTTACCCTGTACACCTGCCTTCTTTGAGGCTGATGCAAAACCTTCTTCTGTAGATTCGCGCATTGGATCACACCAAATTACATCGTATGGTGTGGGAATTAGCAGGACTTTAACCTTTTTAAAACAATTTCTGTCATCGGGTAAGAAACCAGGCAACTACCTATGACCTATCAACTTCTTTGGATAAAGTACCTTATTGCAACATTTGGACCGTATCCAGGACAAAGTTTAGAACTTAATTATAAGCACAAGTGTGCATTACTAAAAGTCTGAAAATCGTTCTTGCAGTGGAAGCAAGACTTTGAATCCAATATGGCAGTAAAATGAATATTTGAAAACAGGAGATGACGCAGATGTAAAACAGTTTGTAATGTGCACCAATGGTAAAAGACATTGCCATGCCAATCATGAGTGTAAAGAACACGAGCCTACCAATAGGCAATCAACGATTAATCGGTTAACTCCTATTCCATCCAATAGGAAGACCAAGATCCTGTCAGTCAACCCTGCGACTTTTCCAAGTGAAATCTGCAGACGTATACTCTGATCATTATAACCATCTTTTCCTAACACTTGAAAAGAAACAGTTAAATTTTGCGAGCAACCATGCCGAACGAAAAAGACAAGGGCAGTAATACGACAAAGGGAAGTGGTGCTCAGGGAGCCAAGTCCAAGGGACCTCCGAAGGGTCATGAGACGAGTTCTGACCAGACCAAAAATCCAAAACCAGGAACCACTGTGCAGGGTAACAAAACGAAGTCTTGAAGAACAGCTGATTCCTTTACTACATGGAGTCACGCAGGTAATATTTCGATTTGGTACAAACCAAACCAAGTATTATAGCATTATTTCGGTATAGGAGTACATGTATTTTCGGTAATAAAGCCCCGGTCACATACAGCGTACCATTTTGTCGTAGATATTGCTGTACATTGTAGAGTTGAGAAGACACGGGCGCAATAGTTTACCACTATAGTTTGAACTACTGCACCCGTTTCCTCCCAAATCGTAATGATGTGAATATTACCATGGCTTACCTGATGTTTTACCTAGAGGAGAATCTTCAGACGATATCCATGCATATTCTCATCTTTTGGAACCGGCACTACCGTTCAAAATACCTTTTCCTTTCAACAACATAATTGCTTGTGGCTGTGAATAGATGTTGTGGCTGTGAACAGAATACTTTATTTATTTCAGGTTGCTCAATGCCGTTTGGCAAATTGCAGTTGTGTCTGTCAAACTGCAAGACATCATATTTACTATCATTAGTATATTAAATATTCATTTCTTCATCCAGGCGACAAACCAGCTACTCGAGGGAGGATGATCATATTGAAGTTGTGATTCTGAGTGGGCTGCAGTTGATTTGACAACATAATCTCATCGAAGTTAATCAAGCTTCCAAGAGCAAGCAGCAAGCAAGCAACCAACCAAGCAACCAAACAACCAAGCAAGCAAGCAAACAAGCAAGCAAGCAAGCAAGCAAGCAAGCAAGCAAGCAAGCAAGCAAGCAACCAACCAAGCAACCAACCAACCAACCAACCAACCAACCAACCATCCAACCAACCAACCAACCAACCATCCAACTAACCAAACGCAATTTGTTCCGAATGTGAATATTTCAGGCATACTATCGATCGTTTCGCCACTATTTGAAACACAAAGAACACTGGGAAATGTAGTTTTTTTGCTATCTGATTTTTATGTTTTTGCAAAAATGATTGAACTGTACAACTAAGTGATGTCTCGCATATGGGTAATGTTTTGTGTTTCATAACATAATAAAAATGAACCGATAGAAGACATAGAAAGGGTAGTTCTGCTTTTTCCTTCAGGATACTAGACTAGTATTCTGAATCCATGCTACAGAAAAAAAGGATAGTAATGAACTTTTTACGGTCATATCATTGAGAAATCAACCACCATCGCCTAGTTTTCAGCTTTCCAAGACACGTTTGAAATATGGTGTGCTTCCAATTCACAACCTGTTATATTGAAGCCCAGATAGGCTACATTGGAATTGAAATATTCCTATATTACATCCTTGTTGAAGACGTCTAAACACACACATTTCTAGTTAGTTATTACACCACACTCTAGAAAACAGTAGATATTGGGTAGATAATAATTTATGTTGAATATACCATAGGAGTTAGCCAGCCACAGGAGTACACTTTGCAACCGATAGAGTGTACTCCTGAGGCTGGTTAACTCCTCTGGTAGATCATTCCGCCTGTATGTCCAATTTCTACTACATTCCAGCAACCATTAGAGTCCGGTAGAGACGAATTCGCATCGTGTGAGAAGCCAGACAGTCAAAATACCCCCTCTCCATTGTAGCGGCGACCGTTACGCATTGAGCGGCCAAAGCTATCAGTAGTTCAAACTAAAGTGGTAGTAGCAACTCAGAGTCAGTTGACGTCTTTGGTATCACGATTAATAATCAGAACTTTAATGAAGTGGACGAAAGAAGAGCTGGAAAGTCATACCTTGATGAAGATTTGGCCGTAGTCCTGGATACGTTTCACGAGGATTTTAGCTATGTTCTAACTGAACAGCTCGCTACAATCTACGTATTGTGTCGATATGTTACAGCCCATGCTGGCGTTAACTTTTAGTGATAAGGGTAGCTGGAGACGTGGATCGTCTCAAAGGCACATTGCTCCGCTGTAGGAAGTCAGAACTTTGAGATAAACCAGCCATTGTGTGTCCGAACATGTGTGTTCTCGTTCTTTTCCTCTGGGATAAAATGTATTCATGACGTATGCATCATATCTTAAACCTACCATTATTTCACCAGTTGGTGCTGTATGTAATGATCTGTAGTGGTCACTAAAGAAAATAGCTATTGTGTTGATTCTACAGGGACCAAAGCTGAAAGACAGTTGAGCGTCCAAAACACAACTCTGAACGATCTTTCAGTGAGCTTCTAACCACCCAATGTCTTTCAATGTTGAATAATATTTCTGATCGAAATGACATGATTTTTTGGTCGCTCATCGGTTGCTTAACAATCTCCATTCTATGAAAATGAGGAATATTTTCCATATCACTTGTCAAGTTGTAATATATTTGTAGAGTTTTTAAGTCTTTCAATTCAACACCTAATTACCCCATGGACATTAACTCCTCGAAACAACAAATCCCATATTGTTTTGCGTTTCCAGAAGTGTTCGGAGATGTTCCAATGACGGCTCTCTCCCCGGTAGCCACGCTGATAAAGATGTCGCACTTAAAAGCTTCGTTAATTGGTCTAAGTGTGCTTTTTAATTAGTCTGTCGGTAACTTGAGTAGGTAGCGTGTTGGGATCTGATACTGAGGTCACAGTAAACAAACAGCCTTATCGTCTGTAGGGTCAGATTTTAAACCGTGGATCTCAAAACTCCATCTCAAAGTACAGTAAAGAAACCTACTTCCACTCAATTGTCAGAGTCTACAACAAGCCAAAGTAGCACTCCCAGTTCTACATTACGTACAGGACTGTTTCAAAAATCACACGGAGGCACTAGTAGATTGGCATCTGCTGTAAAACACGATGTCTGCTCGTTTGCAAACATGTCAATCATCTGCACAGAGAGATAAGATATATAATCACGTTGTTGGTGTATGGGTAACACATAGAAAACACATCAGAAAACATGTTAATGTACACAACATCGTCAATTACTGGCATTAGTAGGTAATCCTACATATCCCCCTTGCGGTACAGACCAGTACTGCCCTTGGTGCTGAAAGGGATATCCCGCAAAAGACACGCCTTTGTCAACACTAATTTGGGTAAATTTATCGACAGCACTTACTTATTTAGACAACACTTCCACTGGTAAAACCACTTGAGAGTCTCTATGGGAAATTGTAGATAATTCCAACTTGTTACGTCGTAATGTTTACCTGTTCCGCCAGGATTTCCTCTCACTTGCCCTCTCCACTGTGCTCTATCCTTTTTGTAATCATTTCCCTGCTGCCTGATCCCGTAAAACAATACAGTCTTTGTACCAACAGTCTACCTTAGCAGACTGACGAGTAAACCAAGATGGAAAACATCAAAATCTGAAAACTAACTGTTTGCATTGTTTGTACACATCTCTATCTGACGTAAGAGACGAAAAAGCTATTTTGTTACGTCACGAACTAACAATCATCATATGCGCAAAGCACAGAACGCACTGGAAAACCACAACGCTCCTGCTGTCAACCTACGTCACAAACATTTTCATTGTTAGGACTGTACCACATCATCTAACGTCAAACTTCAGTGCACAGTGAACTAGTTGTAGTTAACCTACACGGTGTTAAGACGTTATAGTCGACATTTGAGGGCTAAGTTGGTATAATTTTCTCAAATAACGACGTTTAAGATGGTAGAGATGGACGTGGACCCGGTGGAGGCGCCGGTGGACTGGTCCGACCTCCCCCCGGAGATTGTGGTGCAGGTGTTCGCGTTCCTGAGCGAACAGGACCGGGCTAGCGCGGCGGTCACGTGCAGCCGCTGGCACGCGCTGCACTCCCACCCGTCCCTGTGGAGATACCGCACCTTCAACCTGGGCAACACCGCGCAGTTTCACAGGTACTCAGCAGACTTTGTATGTAGTCTACTTGATATTCATTATTGATAATTTGATACCATGATTTGCCACGCGCCATCTATGTTCCGTTTAGATTATGTTCCATTGACCTCTGACCCCTGGTTCACGTTTAAGGTCACTGCATTTGTGAGTCAGTTTAGTTTCGTGTTCACCCGATACGATGTATGGTTTGGTTGTTTTATCTCTTGTATTCTATGTTGGACCCCAGTACCAATAGTGTTCACTGTATGTAAAATACTTGTGGAGATCTGAACAGGTTTAGGGGATTTTTAAAAGATTATTTGTTGGTATTAAAATGGTGTAGAGGGGCGGCGCCCATCTCCGTTTATATAGGCCTTGGGCTGATATAGATAGAAAAAAATTTGTCTAATTTTATAAGATCTGTAACATTGTTGAACGTTGTATAACCCTTGGTCGTTCTTTGTTACCGTCAGGACCTGTGACATGCTGAGGCAGTATCCGCTCAACCTGGCATACTACCTCAAGACGTTCGAGGCAGAGTACCCTGAAACTGCTCGGGGCGCTCATAGGATGCACCATTGCAAGAGAATACAGGTTTGCCATATTTGTATATGCATGTGCATGTGCATGTGTTTGTGTATGCGTATGCGTGCGCGTGTCTGTGTGTGAGCGTGTGGTTGTTTGTGTTTGGGCGTGTTTGTGAATATGTGTGTTTGTGTCTGTTGTTGGAATGTGTTCTGCTTGGTAAATGACTAGCGCAGAATGTGTTAATTCCTTTACGTGCCTGTTCAAAAAATTATTTCAGACGTGTTTCTTTATGTTCCCTGTAGAAAACCATGACAACCTTCCTGTCACGGCTCAGGGGCAAGGCACAACTGCGCACGCTCAAACTGCGTCAGTTCGAGCTGCACCGACGGACATGGCAAAACAGGTGACTACTGACGATGTGCTTGTTTTAACAGAAAATGCGTAATTTAATAGTGTACAGCGTATTCAGTGCAAAGTGAAATAGCTTTCTAGACGTCACGACTCTTGCCCCTTATTGTCGCTAGATTTATATAAAACAAGTAATGCTGATGATTTTTGATAGCCTGAATTTTAATCATTAAATAAAAAAAATGGAAAAGTGGTGAAACTAGTTCTTCTGTTGATGTTTATTTCAAGTGTCACGTGTGTTACGGATATATAGACGTGAAGTCTTCCATGTTTTACCTGATTTACCTCCCGCAGGAGTGCAGACCTGGTGAGGTCCATCGCGTGGTTCCTGTGCAGTCAGGGCCGGCTCCGCTGGGTGGAGCTGCAGGGCATGTCGGCCACCCCGGAGCACGGTCTGCGCATGTTCAGTAGTCTCGTCAGGCGCAGTGGCGCCAGCATCCGGGTTCTCAACATACAGGACTATTTTTGTCCAGGTTAGAGAGCCTTTTGTTAAAAACACTTTTGGAATTTTTTTGTTAGTGTATTTCTGCTGTACACCTAAATCGCCATGGATGAAAAGATACTGACATTGCGTTCTAGAACATGACCGACGCTTTTGTCTTTGTCCCGACGAATTCGAAAGCGCACAAAAAAAGACAATAGACAGGCAACAAATAAAATATTTAGAATTTAGGCACATTTAAGTTACATAGTACTTACTATTTCACGATCTGAAATCATATCATGGACAATATAAGCGCACACATCTATTTCAACTTGACAGAAGAAGAAGAGAGTGACAAAACAACTTACCCGCATGCATATATAATCACGTCACGGCCATACCTGGGCAGCAAGCTGGTCAGTAATAACGGTCTAGTGTTTTAGACCGGTCTGTATTTGCGGTATCCCACGAGCCTCTACTTGTATCCCACGGGTTTCGCGTGCGCCGCTGTTGAAAATGCGAACACTCGCGATCGATTCCTACGTTGGAAGTGAAGTTCTTTGAAGACACCAAGTTCTTGTTCAAGGACATTAGTTTGGTGCATTAGTGCATTTCACATCGAAATGGGTTGATTTAACCTCCTTGGTTTGAAAAAAAAAACCACAATACAACAATGTGTATTCCCACTGATCAGTCTGGTACCTCGGGTGAAAAAAGTATGGACAAAATTTCAATGGCTGCATAATGAAATTAACGTGAATTTCCCTCTGCTTATTTTGCAGCTCAGGCAATCTACGCGCTCCCCGAGTTCCACCAGCTCTTCAAGCGGTTTCGCCACCTGTCGGTTCTGTACCTGAACTACAACTGCGTGTCGGACGAGCTCCTGACGACTCTGGCAGAGACATGCAGGGAGAGTCTAACTGACATTAACATCAAGTACGTAACAGTGGCGTCATATTCATAAACGGCTACACCTTACCCGCGTTATTTTGGTGACGCCTCTTGGCGGAGCCTTTTTAAGGCCATCACTCTTTGTGTTAGAAAATCGTGTTGAGAAGTGTGGCTGTTGAGACGCGTGGTTCAACGTCCTAGTGTTAACTTACGTGGAATTGTCGTTTTCTCAACAGGGTGTTCCATATGGATCCACACTTCCAGCGCATCTGGAGTATGTCCTGGTATTTCCTACGCAGCGCATGCCCCAAGTTACAAGTCACTTTCACTTTCGAGCGCGTGCTGCTCTATGAAGACGTGAAACAGTGCCTCCTTCCCGACATGCCACTAGCCAACCTAGAGGTAAGACTGTAAATAGATATGTCTTAGAGGGAAGATGCATACAATAGGCGTCGCCAAAAACAAGACATATACACTCGTCGTAGTCTAATCTTTTAGGATCCACTCCAGAGGCGTTGCCAAAAATGTTGATCGTTGAATGCTGATCTTGTGAAATCCACTTTTGAGGTGTTGACAGAAAATGTAGCTATTCGTTGTAGTCTTTTTGATGCTTCAACCTCCCCATTAGCCGGCAACGCCCCAGGCGCGGAGCCAAGGCCGATAGCACCTCATTTGAATGTTTTTTTTATACCATGACAAGACCATAGCGGCCTGTTAATTCATTATTTTTCTCCCAACACAGCTGACGTGCGGCAATGATTACGTGGTGCACAGAGACTGGGTGTTGTCGCCGACGGTCCGCTATGTGGAACAGAAGTTTACCCGGACACTCCAGGAACTCAGCATCGACGTACTGAACGCAGACGATGACCTGTACGAACCCCTTCTTCAGGTAACGTCATTGGGTTATGATGTAGCTTAGTAGCTAGATGGCCATGGGAAGGCGAAATCACTAACCCTAACCATGCTAAACAAACATTGCAATCACTAGTGATAACAAATATGACGACGGACTGGGATCGCCATCACGACGTCAATCGTTAGTGCCCAGTATTCTCTTGAGATTTCTTGTTCACATGGCCATATAACATTATTTCTTACCCAAACATAGCATATTGCAATGTCTACACATCAAAACAAACTGGTCTTGGGGGTAGATTTTACTTCTATTTATGTGATATGTGACAGCAGCTAACAAACTGAAAATGGAACACTATAAATTTCCATAGCTGATCCAGTCGTGCAAGAAGCTGTGGTCGTTAGAAGTCAGGACATGGATGAGAACAGCGTTCGTGGATTCTGTCTGTCAACTCAAAAAGGAAGGTAGGAACAAGATTTTTCTCTCTCTGTCTCAATTTCCTTCCTTCGAATTCGTTCCTACGATTTCTCTGTCAAGTGTCCACTGGATCGCCATAAGTCCTAATTTTTGCTATCAAACTTCCGCCACTTTTCTCCAGGAAAAACTATACTGACGACCTTTAAAGCGGTGCTGGTGACTCACATGGACGAGGAGACCCGTCAGGAGCTAGCGGTGGTGTACAGCAAACACAAGGACATGATTCGGGAAGGTCTGCTGAACTACAATTTCCACGTAGAGTGGAACCCGTACTTGTGAACTGCTAATCGCAGATGGACCACTAGGTGGCGCTGTGCAGAAGTTGCTTCTTCATACACTTGCACTCGAAACAAAATTATTTAATAGTATTTGGTTGCTTGCTCAGCACCCCAGACTAACTTTACATATGGACATGACAGTGGAAGGTCTAGATCTGCTGAACAACAACTCCCATGTTGCATGGAACCGGTACTTGCAATTGTGAACTGCTAAGCGCGGATGTACCGTCAGATGCTGCTTTGCAGAAGTTGTATTACCGTACCTGTATAAAGGAACAACACTTATTTATTTACTTGCTCAAAGTCCGAAGCTGACTAAAATGTAGCCGTCGATCGTTGAGAAGAGAGTAATATATTCTGTAATTTCTAAGAAAACAATGTAGATGGACGTTGCCCTCAAGTGATGTACGTTGTATATGAACTTACTTTAAGAGTTGCTTAATTGGCAGGTAATCACGACAAATAATGCGTGTCTTCAAAGTGTTTTATCAATATTAAACATCGTCAATCCACATTGGAATCATATTGGATTCTTACATGTTACAGCATGTAGTAGCATAGTACCTAACCGTGCTAAGTTAACAAGAATGGCATGTAACCTGTAACGTTACCTTTACCTTGTCCCATCGTCATGTATGAGGGTCAGGGACCATGGAAGCCTTCAGTCTCAGTCTTCTTCATCCCTTTGTTGTCTCTGGTCCGTTGTGTTCACTCCGCCATAGATTTCCCAGTCAGTCTCGACAGCCTCACACCACCGTCTCCCACGGCCCTAATATCTCTCAATCCAATTACTAGTAGCTTATATTTGAGTTAAAGCGATACTATGTAAAACTTTTGCGCCAAAACTGTAAATATAAATAATTGAAATTCTCGTATCTAGATTTTAGCGTTGGTATTTCGCTTTTCCTGCGACTCAATACAGCGCGAGAACAAATTGCGCCAGGCCCGCTGTATTTATAGGGGGCTCCTAAACTAGAATGTAAACAAACAACATGGTCGCGATCCGCGCTAGCACCGAGGAGTTGGCAGTTTTCCAGCAAGTTTTTGCGTCATAACAACGTCGATCTTTTACTCCCTAAATGTCATTATGAACCCAGGTAGGCCTAAGTATTATATAGTTAACGCAAGAAAATGTGTACAACAACGTTTAAAATAGTGAAAATCTTACATAATATCGCTTTAATAGTCATTGTACAACCATCGAACCTAAATGCAGCATATGATAAAAGTTTTAAATCAATTCTTAAATTTTTTTAATAGACCGATGTCAAAACCACCTGTCCCGTCGTTTCAAATGACGTTTTCCCGCCATATTTACCCAAAACAAAAAGTCCCATCGTTCATTGCGCACACAAAATGGCGGACATAACTTGCCAGGCTGGTGAAGTCTCTTTTCAGCTTCGAATCTAGCAAAAAACAACGCTGTCTGTCACTAAATTTCTGACAAGTCGTTGTCCTAACTTCTCAGGATGGGAAATAGCAGCAGTACGTCGCCAGAAAGAGGTAAATGTTGGTTATTTTGAGGAAAAAAGTGTCTGCAATATGACCTAAGTGTTCAGGAAACCGCCATGTTCATTCTTGTCCTATGTTTTCACATCCGCATGACGTAACTGTCTAGTGATTTTCTTTCCCGACTTTTGCCTATTTGTGTCCTAGCGAAAGCGTAGACAATCATGAAATTCTACCCGGCCGTTTGTTGTAAGCTTTAGGTACAGAATTGGTTTGCTTTTCCTAAATAGTTGACTTTTGTGTATGGACTTGATTCACATGTAATTTGAACATTATTTGGGTTGAAAGATTTCATCAAATTTGTTTTAAAGGATACTATTATATTGTTAAGTATTTGTATCACTTGGTGGGTCGTTTGGTCTTTTTTTATATGTTTAAAAATAAGATAAAAAGCAAAGGATAATGGTTTTAACCCATTTATCTCTTGTACTTGTGAAAGTTCAAAGGTTAAGCCAGTTTCATTATTGCCATAATTCTGAATCCCTTTTTAGGATAGCATGAATTTTATTTTGTGGCATGGCAGTGCTCTATAAGAGGAAAAGAGGTGTCCATAAGACAGAGCACATGGTATACTAGTATTACTACTGGAGTTTGTTTTTTCACGGTAACCAGGAAAGCTGCAGACATAGAAATACAACAAATGTTTCAAGACTTACTTAGTTTTTGGCATATAAATGTTGACTACAAGTATATGTAAGTTGAAAAAGACTAGAAATTTGCCAACAGTCAATGTCTGCAATAGGAATAAAACAGTCACATTACATTAACATTTCAGTATCTACTGAAGCCGAAATAAATATGATTTATTAAGAAAGCCCCACGGCCCTCAACTAACCAAATTAGCCAGTTTGGGGTCAAAGGTCCTATATAATTACCTGTGAAAATCCAGCGGAAGTCCAGCCGTCTGTTATTACAACAAGGCTTGTAAAGATAACAGTGTTTTAGTGATTGTCAGTTTCCCCAGTGGGCATGGCAGTACAACTCTTCTCAGTCATGTGATAAATTCCCTGTAAAACACAGCTGTAGTTTTGTCAAAGGCTTTTTGGGTTAGAAATACTGCAGATATTGGACATTCAATTCTTATCTGTTTCCAACATAGTGGTTATCAGGAAAGTCATAACCTGTGATGTCAGTGATGATAATGACTAGAGTAGGCTGTTGCTTAGTCCCACTTGCGTCATAAAGAGCTCTAATTTGTAAGGAGTCAGCATCCGTTGGTTGGTGACATGTTATTACCATTCAGGAGTGGTGCAGTGTAGAAAATGGTGTTTGTTTTTCATGTACAAGCTTGGCCAGGTAAGCAGTAACATTTTGTTGCATTGGTTAGCTTCAGTCTAAATATCTGAGACAAATATATGATGTATGTTGCTATTCTGGCATGTTCCTAACGAAAAAACCCTACAAACAGAGTCTATTTTACAGTTGTAAAACTGTTGACCTAAATACTGCAACATATGTCTACAACTTGTATACTTTGGACTTACTCTTTTGAATGCTTTTGAAAGGCTTAAATATACATTCATGTAGACTGCCCTTATCCATTATTTTACCAGAAACATCATATAAATCAAGTGGCCATGTGTGTGTAGACTGTGTATTTGTAAAGGTCTTGTCAGTGTTGACTTAATTTTACAATATTAGACCAATTGGAAAGGGCAGTTGCATTACTACTTGTTTATATTACCGGGACTCATGTGTATGTACATGTGTGTGGCTTGTCAGAGGATGGTGGAGTGATATTGCACAGATGTTGACATTTGACAAGAAAAAACAGAGCAAGGGAACCAGACTGCAGCTGATTGTCCATTTTAAACACCACAACATGCATGGCATTTCTTGATATGGATCATGGCGTATGAACTGAAATATTACTGATGTCACATGAATTTTATAGCATTAGTAGTCATTCACTGCCCATCTTGCATTTCAATGACACACCATTACACCCTGTAATGTGTAAACCTTGAAATGTTCTGGTTGGTTTTACTTCCATGCTGACCTCTCCACCTCATAATTATGACACTGCAAATATTGCTACTGTACTTGAGAACTGTTTCAACCATTAACTAAGAGTAAGAAAGACCTTTAGGCTTTACCCTTCTACTGGCACCATGAAATTAACTCCCTGCAAAATTGAATGAATGTGAAATAAAATGTATAACCTAAACCCTTCTTTATTTCTATGCTTGTTACAGAATCAGATAGAAATGACACACCAGTCTTGGAAAATGCGTATGACTCCCACCGAAGGAACATCTGGCGTTTCCACCCAAGTTGTCATGGCAACAACATCTCCATCTCCTCCGACCGTCAGACAGCCAGAAGAGCAGAGAGCTTCTGTAACGCAATCGTCTTCAGCGACCGTCCCTTCCGCATCCAGGAAAAGATCAGACTGAAGTTTACGCAGACAACGGATGGATGGAGCGGGGTGATCCGTTTCGGCTTCACCACGCAGGATCCAAACAGTATCCAGGCGTCGTCTCTACCTAGGTACGCGTGTCCTGATCTCACAAACTTACCGGGCTACTGGGCCAAAGCCTTGCCGGAGAGATACGCAGAAAGGAACAACATCTTGTGCTACTACGTGAGGAGAGACGGGAGTGTGTGCTACTCGGTGAATAATGAGGATAAGGGACTGTTTTTCGCTGGTGTGGACACATCGTCCCCACTGTGGGGGCTGGTGGACGTGTATGGGAACAGCACAGAGATCAGGATCATTGGTGAGACATTGTACAACTCACATGTACCTGATTTGCAATTCACACAAGACTTAAAATGTATATTGGTATACATGTAACACATGTGAACAGTGTATTTTAGGAATGTTTGTAAGGTCTGTTGTAGATATTGAGCACTGTAGATACATATACATGTTGTGCAGTACCAAGATTGGTGTTTCAATTTATATTGTAGTAAGACAGATAAATTCCTAAGGACTTGTCAGATATTTGACATTTGATTATAAAAGCGGACTGCCAATATTCTTAGAGTTAGAAAAGAAAGTACATGTACAGCAGTATTTTTCAATTCATCTTGACTGAATATTTGGTTTAACATTACATCTGATATTTTCTCTAATTAGATGGAGACCAAGAAGAAGACCCTAATGATGCAGGTGCCATGGCGCTGGATCCCTCTGACATCGCTCTTGGTCGTCTCGGCCTCCTCGACTCCAATAATGCTCTAGAAAACCTGACCTTGGAGTCAGAAGGCACCACGGATGAAGTGGACGACAACTACCCCAACCTTCACCGCCTCCCTGATATCCTATCCGACGTCTGGGGAATCCCACGTGATTCGCTACAGGAAATGCAATTCTCCACCACGAGCGGAGCCAACGTAATCTTCCGGGAAAACAGAACGGTCGCCAAAAGGCGCGGGAATGAATTCTGCAAGGGCGTGACGTTCACAAGTCGGCCTCTTGAAGTAGATGAGACCATATTTGTACAAGTGATTGAAGTTACCCCGAGGTATCTCGGGGGTCTGGCGTTTGGGGTGACCAGTTGTGATCCCCAGCTTCTCAATGCTTTTATTGACTTGCCTGATGACTCAGAAAGCCTCATGGACAGGCCCGAGTACTGGGTGATCTACAAAGACTTGTCAGTGCCAGACGAGGGAGATCAGTTAACGTTCACGATAAACAGTGAGGGAGAGCTACGCCACCACGTGAACGGAGTAGACAAAGGGGTATTGATACACGTGGATGTTTCCCAACGACTGTGGCTAGTTTTTGACGTCTATGGAAGTACACAAGCAATTAGAATATTAGGTAAGTATGACAAAACCTAACTTAAGGTGTGACATGAAGATTTTGATACATATTTGATACATAGACAAGGACATTGTACTTGTACATGACTACTAATAATATGTACTACAATGTATTTTGCTTCTTTTTCTAGGAACATTGTCTGGGCGGGAAGGGAACCCATGGTCTTCTGGCTTGAGCTCTGGTCAGAGCAGTGAAATATCCAGATCTGATCCATTCTTCCCACCCCTTCCAATACCAACTGCTGCAGAAGTAAGTACCATCTCATGGTGCTGCATGGCCACTTGTTAGAAAAATCCTGTTTTGTTCTGCTACATTTTATTTGAATCTGTAGTAAATACAGGTCAAGGGCATCTTTAACAACCGAAAAGGAATGTGAATTTGCTACAAATGTTACATCTTCTTTGTTCCGTAGCTGGAGGACAATACTGACAGCTCCAGTGCCAGCGTCCCTACAACACACAACCTCCCCCCTCCCCCCATGGTGGGCACCAGGACCACAGGAAGGAGTGACTGTACCATCTGCTACGACCGCCCTACAGACAGCGCCGTCTACCCCTGCGGACACATGTGTCTGTGCCATAAATGTGGCCAGCTCCTGAAGCGTCAGCGGGGCGGGATGTGTCCAATCTGTCGTGGTGCCATCAGAGACATCATCAAGATATTCAAAGCCTGACATTTTTGCCTAGCCTGATTACATGTGGCAGCCATGTCATTGAGGGGAGAAGCCCCAATCAGCCCCTGACAGAGAGATTGTGTAACACAGGCTGCTACTTTTTTTGCCATGTTCTTGTCGTCGAGCACATTTTCTGTAAAGGCATCTTATCCACATGTCAAACTTTTCTTCGAAGAGATGTTTTTGCCCCTTTCAAGTTGAATTCTTTTTATGCCACGTATGCGCAGTTGGAAAATGGATTATTGTGGTCTGACACCAAAGGAGTTTCTTCTGTGCAGTCTAAGGTACATACACAAGCACTCAAAGATTGAAACACCATTAAGCTGAAATGTTTTGAATGAAAACATACTGAATAGAAATGATCTCAAAGATCTCAGGTCATGCTTCTCAGTGCTTGTGATGTGTGTAAAAACAAATTGTTGTATGAACAAAAATAAAACAACGATTAACCAAAAAAAGGTACAGGTATATACAGCTACATGTGTTTCGGGTTGTCACATTATAAATTTATTGTGTGGAAATGATTACTATAATCAATTTCTCAATCATCCTTATTGTGAAGCACAATTGTTGGAAATAAATTGCATCTACTAGTCCTATGTTTGTACTGTATATCAAGGGCTGAAATGCCAAAATGTTGCCATGGTATGTGAATATGAAAGGTACACCCTATCTTATGATACATGTAGATTTTGGAAAGTCCTTTTACCAATACCAAGTCACTAATAACAGTATTCAGATAGTTTGGAGGTCTGTCTATTATTAATTATCAGTCTAGATGTCTATCAGTAAGAATTTTATGAAATGTACCTTATGTTGTAATTATTAAATTGTTGGCATGTAATATGTTCATTTTACAATGTTCTGCCATTTAAATTTTCTTGTTACTCGAAATAGGTTTGTGTCACAATGTCATTGAGTGTATACTGCTTTATTATATGCATGTACCCATGTTGTTAGGTCACACTAATTTTTCCCAGATTCTCAGACATTTTTAAGTAAAAAGGTAGCAAGAGGTCATGATAAAAACAGAAGGACTGGGAGAAAAACTGTAATCTGTCTATTTTGGCTATAACTAAGACTGTGTACCAAGATACAGACTTCCTTATGTCTGAGAACCAACAAATTGAATTGGCTTGGCCATACTGAAAGTCTGCTACAATGTAAACATGACTGGAAGGTTATGATGTGTGCAAATCATTGTTTTTCTTAACAAGACAAAAGAAATGTAGTAACTGTTTCATTGTGTACTGTATGATGGTGTACAAATTGATTTTTGAGGTAACTATATTAGAACAACAAAGGTACATGTATGACCGTAATTGCAAGTACTGTACGAAAGATGCTATGTCAAAAAATGTCTCCATTGTGGAATACAAACAATGTACGTTGAGAGCATATGTACACCAGATGAACAAAACCTACAATTATCATTTATTTGAAGAAAGAACAGTTTTAGATGAGGTATGGTGCCTAACAATAATTCAATAGGAATTCAACTTATTTGATGCTCATAATAGGTTTTAGACTGTCATGTGCCATCTGGTCTATCACATCAGCCAAGCGTAAATGTCTGAAGCTAGGCTACCGGTATATAAAAGGTAGCAGCAGACTAAAACAATAGCACTGTTGTTTGTACACAATGCTTGATGCTCCCATTGGATATTTTGTTTATTCTTCTCTCAAGAGTGCACTGTACTTTGCTTTGCAATGTTTTGTTATAAATTTAATGTCTCATCCAAGGTGAAAGGGCTATTCTAAGAAAAAAAGGAAAACATTTTGAAATGAAAAGTTGAGGGGCTACTATGTTGAGCATTTGATAATATTCATTTAATAAGGGAGATGATATTCAAAATGAATGGGGCACTATTTGGGGCACAATGTTTTATCTGTTCTCCTTCCCAAACTTTTCAAATCAAGCAATGTTACCGGGTACTGGCCATTACAACCATATGTTTTTATGCTACAAAAAATGAAACACTCAAGCCTGAGTCAAGGTACTAGGCAACTGTTGAACTTAAGCTCTGCTTTAATTGTTGGTAGGTATACTCACAGCACTCTACCTGTCCACTTAATATTGAAACACGTCATGTATGATTTTGATATGAACTTTGTACAAAATACCATGTATTCACACAGGAACAACTATCTTGCATATCAGTGAATTGAGGCCTTTTTGTATTAATACCACTGTACCACGAAGGAATACATATGCCATATTTCAGTCAATGTCTGTGCACAAATAGCACAGAAATAGGACATTGGGCTATGTTGTATAGATGTAGTAAAGCTTCAGTGGTGACATACCATATTTTGTTGTAAGACCTGTAACTAAATTATCGTGAATTTAGCAGATACATGTATAGAGCTTAAATTTCTGGTAATAAATGGTAAAGGAAATCTTAAGTATGATTATGTAGTATTTGATATTGTAGGCTAAGCAGACATTGTAAATTTTTTTGTTAATTGTAAAGATGGTATCTTACATATGTATGTCATTGGTACAGCCGTCAACATCTTGGTTTCTGGTCCTCTGGCTAGCTATATATATATATATGGGCAATTTGCCAAATGTGTTGTAATAAACTGCAATAAAATCTATCTTTCCAAATTTGGGATGTGATTGCTTTATTGCATAAACTAGAGGTCGGAGATCTCATGTCTTCGTCAGAGGGACATTGTTCTAGATAAAGGAACGTTTTTTTACTACTAGAAATCAATTTGGTCTAGAGTACAAAATAATCTCTGTACTCCTTTTTTTTATTCTACAACAGTGTCGCAAAATGTAATGAGAAGATGTGATGAAAGGAAAGAATCAGAACAGGGGGAGATTTATTGCTGTTTTCGTTTGTTGTTACACTATGTTCTTTTATTCAATTTGCATCCAAACATTTGTATTTCCACAGTTAGTATGTTCCAAATCTGTGCATGTTAATCATTTTCTTTTGGCCTTCATGTATTTTATCGCTCTTTTGCAATAAATTTAAGGTCTCCAGTGGACGTCATCCATAAAAATCACTTGGTCTGGCCTTACAATTTAGGGAATGACCTGCCTGACGCATGTCCCCCGCCCCAGTATTTATAGGACAGCCCCTCAATTGTAAGCAATTGATACCAGATGCGGCCGGGGACAGCTGTCCCCCATGTGAATCAATGCAGACGTTGGTGGGGGTAGTTCATTATATATCTAACACAAAGGTCCACTGCAGCGACATAGGGACCCCCCACGAGGCCCGTTTTCGAACTTGACCTTGGTCTCTACAGTGATAGGTAGCCTACCAAAAATCATGAATATCTGTTTAAATATACTTGAGTTATTTTGCTAACAAGCCACAAACACAAAAAAGTCCACTGTAGTGACGTACAAACCCCCCCACGAAGCCCAAACTTGCACTTGGCATTGGCCTCCACAACAATAATCTGCCTGCCAAAAATCATGGACGTCGCATAATGCCTTCAAGACTTATTCCGCTAAATCCTCATTCACCCACAATGCGGCGAGACAATTTCATAGTCCTTCTGACGAAGACAATAAGTTATGATTGCTTTGCTTTGCTATGTTTCTAAGGAAAGCCAGTTAGAATTAGATTCATTAAACTTGACTTTCTCCTGTGAATATTTCTGATCTATAGTTTGGAGCTGGGACCTTTGGCCCCCCAGTCCCCCTCGTCCCTCTCCAGAACGGCGTCTTTAAAGCCGACATCCTGGCAGCGTTTCTGGAAGGCCACGCCCTCAGGACTGTGTCTCGTCATGCCGTCAAAGATGGTGGCAAGTCTCTGTGTGGATGAAAGCCCCATCTGTTCCACAGCCTGGTTGATGACCTGAGAAAGGAAATAACATGTAGTTCAGTATCTTGAACAATTAGAGATGGCAGGCTTCATCTCTTTACCCATAAGCAGTTGCTTTGTCACCTTTCTGGCTTCCTTCTCTCAAAATGTATAAACATCTCTGGTATTTAAATGCAGCAGTACAGTTTGGCATCAAAATGTATTTCACTTCCTAAAGATATGTCACAAAAACCTGTCTTACTCTAACCTGTTTCTGAAAAAAGAGTTGATTGGTTGGGACTGATGCAATCCTGTTTACAAGTCTGTCCGTCTCTGAGTCCAGGTCTGCTGCAGGCACAGACTTACAGACCAGTCCTATCCTGGCCGCCTCCTGTCCGTCAATCAGGTCTCCTGTCAACAGCATCCGCTTGGCCTTTTCTGCACCAATCCTGAAATGAGACGGATAGCTACATTGTACATGTAGGAAACAGACCAAACAAGCTTCAAACAAGGCTGAGTACCAGGCTATCTTTGTATTTCCGTTCAAACAATGACAACAGCACAAAGTATTTCCAGCTTCCACTTCTGTAATGTCATGCACAAACTGATATCCTTCACTTCTAAAGTACACTTCAGTTGAAAACTGACCTGTAAACCCACATGGCTGTGGTAGGACAACCCCAGAGTCTGGCTGGTGGATACCCAATCAGGGCGTCGTCTGCCATGTAGATAATGTCTGCACACAAGGCTAGGTCACTCCCACCTGCCACAGCATAACCATGAACCTGGCAAGGTGGCAAAGTGATCTAGTTGCTAAGGTTCTGGGTTCAAGTACCTCCAATGTTGTGCCCTCGGAAAAAGCATTTTACACCTATTTCTTTACTCAGGTGAATCATCTCATACAAAGCATGTCAGGTCCTAATGTCCATCTTGGTGTGAGTTAAGATCAAACCTTACATAGTCCTGTCTTACGCAGCTTGTCCTTACTATACAAACCTGGTGAGTTAACACTAAAGGGATTTTACCAAGAAACAAACAAACCTTACAAACCACCGGCTTCAGACTCCTCCACAAGGACATGAATGCCTCGGTGCAGGGGTTGATTAGGCTGTAGTCCTTATAAGGACACCACGGCATGGTCTGGCTGCTGGGCATCGACCCGCGCTCTCCCTCTGCAAATAGCTTCAGGTCGTACCCAGAGCAGAATGCCTTCCCCTTCCCATACAGCAGTATGACCCTGTTTAGGTTTAGAAGATATGATTTCATACAAAATTTAATTGACATGTATATTTTCTGACAATGTCTTTTTGGTACATTCCTAAAAAACCAAACCCATTATGAGGAAGCTTCTATAACTTATTAGGTCCTGCCATACAAGAAGAGTTGTAACTAAAAATAAATCAATGGTTTGAGAAAAAATTACCACTGGAAACAATGAAATGATTGGTCTAATTTGTTTTGTCTCCTGGATCCAGCTAGCAATACTTTAAAAACTGTCATCATACTTGTTTATCTAAAGCGGGAGTGAAATAGATCATTAAATCATTATAGTAACTGTTGCCTGGATTGTCACATACTATGGTGAATTGGTATTATTTGAGGACACGCCCCCTTGGCGCTGATGTGAAAATCGTTTGTGTCAGAAATCTCTAGTATAACCGCCGCCCCTGAGGCCTCGCCAAAAAAATGACAACAAACCGGACATCATCGTCTGCATTCGCTGCGCTGACAGCTTGTTGTAGTTCCCGTGGCACGTCCATGTTGATCGCGTTCAATCTAGTCGGGCGGTTCAAGGCTATGTGCGCCACACGTCCGACTTTGGAGTACAGAATCGATTTGAAGCCATTTGTGGCCTCCATAGACAACTTTCTGTGGTATACAAAAGGCAGCTTGTAGCTCTGTGCTCTCAAAAGATACTTGAGCGCATTCATAGCAATCTAAATTCTTAATTTTCTTCGGAGACTAGAAGAACCTGTAAAAATCCCCGCGAACTTTTTTCAATAAAAGTTCAAAGGTCAACAAGTGATGATGATGGTAAGCCTCCCACAGAACAGCGCCGTCGGGAAGACCGGTTCACAATACAAATATTTGAATACATCCGCTGGTCAGACTGATTCAAAGTCACTTCACGTCAATGTGATTGTTTATAGGAATACAAAAATCGCACAGAATGTCTTTACATGGTGAATGTAAGAAATGTTATGTATAAATGATCGGCCGTGTCGAGTTGTTGTCAGAAGAAGGGTTTATTTTGTTGCGGCGGCGGTGGCGCACAGCGCCCATGGTTACCACGTAAACAAGTGTCGTCACCACCCAAAGAACAAAACAGATTTCCCAGCACAGATTTCAAAGTTTTTGGCGTCTAGTAAGAGTTTTGGGGCATTTTAACGCCATTATTCCACCTTACACCACACAAGATGAGTGACGTAAGTACTTTTAGCATCTTGCTTCTTGATATATTTTCTCTATACTCGATAAATCGTCGCCAAAGCTGCAAAGTTTGTAGCAAAACTTGAATATTGGGAGGGGGGCGTTCTATACTTTTTCATTTTCTTAGTCTAAACTAAATTAAATCTACTTTCTTACTCTTAGAAAAAGCCTAATTAGCAGACATGCGGGCAATACGATGCCTTCAGTATCTTCTGCTGTAGCCTTTTTGGAGGCACGGCACTGTACATAATTTATGTAGTGCGCCATAATAATTTGAAGTCACAGAATACAATTTCAAGTCAGGGAGCTGGCTGGTTACATGATAGCCGCGGCGACTGTTGCAGGGCTTCTCTTGCTTGCAGTCTTTTACATCAGCCTATGTAAAAGACTGCAAGCAAGAGAAGCCCTGCAACAGTCGCCGTGGCTAGTTACATGAGGGAGTAGCGCCCTTATTCCCGTTTATAAAAACCCCTGTCTCCAACCTTGTTCGGTCAAATTGTTGTGATAGTTCAATTCATTTGTATAGGAGTTACATTTGCTAATGTTTCGTTGTATGTATTTTACACATATAGGAAGCAGATAAAGGAGAAAAGGGCGAAAAGCCAGCCTTGGAGGAAAATGCCTTTGAGGCCCTGGAAAGAGACTTTCAGGAGGTAAGATGTCTAAATGTTTACTTGACATGATTGAATAATTTTATTACCTTAAAAACTGTCAATTTGTGGAATCTTAATCTATGTGCTTTGATTGGCGTTGGAATGATTGTGACACGGTAAAAGAATCTAGGCATCGGACTGTGTGTCATTAATCATAAAAGAGACAGCAACAATGATGGTATTCACCCCTTTACCCATGGCCATATGCCACAGACAAACCTGTACATGTGGACAAGTCAAAAACAATACTTAATTCACATCCACCATAGTACAACATATGTGTTGCTGAGGATCACAAAACTAACATACTGACATCAAGTGCATCATCCTAACTGCTGTGTCCGTCATGTTTCCCCAGGTTCTGAATGAACTCATGGGAGACAAGAGTCTGGAGAAGTTCCGTGTTGAGTACGAGAAACTCCACCGAGCGCTGAAGAAGTCCCACGAGAGCGAGAAACGTCTCATGCAGAAATGTCGCGAGCTCAACGCCGAGATTGTCGCCAACTCCGCCAAGGTGTCCACCGCCCTGAAGCTGTCCAGAGAGGATCAGGACACCATCGCTTCCCTGAAGAAGGTAACTATGACAACAGACTTCAAGCAGGTTTTTAGTCATTAATTGCTAAAAGTACGTAATAGCAGCCTTGTTTTTTTTTTGAGAGCTTGTAGTGAACACAGCACTGCAGCTATAATTTATAATGTCTATTTATGGCATTTTGTAATTGTTATAGTCATTGCAATTGGTTTGGAGACTTCAAAATCACACAATCAGAAATTGGAACATGGTGCCAAATTATTGTGACAGTCACTTATTAATAGACAAGACATCATCATCAAAAGTTCTCACAGGTAAAAACGGAATGAATACTCCATGATATTAATGTGGGAAAAAGGAATGACTGGCCTTTTCCTTCTTGCAGGAAATCGAGAAGGCGTGGAAGATGGTGGATGCAGCACACGAGAAGGAGCAGCGGGCACGGGAAACCATCCAGTCTCTGAAGCAGGAGATCTCCAACCTGACCAAACTGGTGGAACAGGGGGCAGGACTTACCATGGGGCAGGAACACAAGTATGTGGGGCTTTCAGACTTGTGCATGTATTTAGTTAAAAAAAACTTAAAATCCTTCAGTGTATAGGGCAGTACTTACCGATATTTCTGTTTCAATTGCACCTTGGGGCACACAGTTACCCATAAAACAAGTGCAAGTATAGCAGGGGGAGAGTCCACTGGTAGTTGTGTGTGTTCATTTTCCATTCCCATTTTCAATGTCTTTTGTATGACCTGGCTGAGCTTTTAACTTGTAACCTCCCAATTTTAAGTCTTGTTTAATCTGCCATTGAAGTTTGATTTTTGTAGAGACCATTTGATGCTAACAAAGCTAATGTTTTCATTATTTCCAGTGTGAATGAGCTGTTGAAGATCAAGGAGGACCTGACAAAGGAGCGTGACCAGCAGCTTGAGGAGATTGTGAAGCTACGTGAGAGTCTGGCCAAGGCAGGAGAAACGGCAATGAAGGCAGAGCAGGACAGGGCTGATGCTGAGGCCAAAATCACTGAGGTACGTACAGTATCAAATGATAAAGGATTGCTCTCTATATCAATTGAACAGAAAGTTGCAGTAAAGATTGCTGAGTCGTAGCTATCAAATACATGTACCACGAAATACATGTATGTCTTTGTATACGATTTTGTAGTCACAGCCAATCAAGTCCTGACACTCCATTTGTTGTCGTTCCACAGCTGAACCAAGATATCCAGATGAGGACGAACGAGGCACAGCGTGAGCAGCGTAAGAAGGAGAAGATGGAGCGTGAGTTGAAGAACTCCAGACAGGAGCTGGAGACCAAACAGAAGGACATGCAGTCCAAGGAGCAGCAGCTGCAGAGGAACAAGGAGGATCTGGCTCGCTTTGAGCAGCAACTCAAGGAGCAAAGGGTAAGAAACAGAAAGTGATTGGAGCCGTGAGTTCAGATCCCACTTCTGACACCATGTTATGTTGTCTACATTGAGATACATATATATATTAAGAGGTGGGATTTGGAGACCGTTTTAACTCTTAAAAACTTGTACATGGAGTGGTGATGATCTGTTTTGAATTTTAATACAATTGATTTTTTTTGTATACTAAAACTTTTTCAGGTTAGATAGACAAAATAGAACAATGTGGCATAAGCATTAGTAAAAAGAGCCAGGAATTTTGAATTTAACACTCCATCATTTCTGTTGAGGGATGCTTCCCGTCTTAAATTTAGGTTTGTCTTTTAAAGACTACATTGCCAATTTGTTTGCAATATCATTTTTGCCAGATTTCATAATGAATTGCTATACATCATGGAACATAATTACCTAGACTAACATAATGACATGAAACCACAACAGATCCAAAATGAGAGGCTGGTGAAGGAGTCAGACGTGTTGAACCAGCGCTTCACCAAGTTACAGAACGACTACGAGAACCAGCTCATCAGCGCCGACCAGCTGGCTCAGGAGAACCAGACTAAAGTACAGGAACTCAAGGTAGGGGGGAAAGATTATACTTTTTACATGTAGCCCTGTGACCCTGTCCTTGTTGTTGGTGCATTTAATCATTGACATTTACATAAAGTCAGTAGGGAAGGAATGAAAACCATTAGGTGTATTTTTGTAGATTGCAAATAATGCAAATTTTTTCTTATATACATGTACATTGCAATTTGAATACTAATATTACCTCCGATATATTTTTTTGTGTTTTGGTTCTATTGCTCATCAGTCTGATAGGTTTGTGGTCCTAAAAGAGAACATCTTTTTGTTTGCAGCAAAAAGAGGATGAGATCCAGGCCCTGCGTCAGGACACGCTGCGCATCACCAAGATGCGGGAGGCCATCCAGCGCAAACTGAGACAGACAGAGGACCAGAAGGGAGAGGCTGAACAGTCCAAGGAGACCCTGAAGAGCCAAATTGTTGGGCTGGAGAGAGGTGAGACCAGTCTGCATTTTCTTTGTTTGATTCAGTCATTCCTTAAAGTTTATATTTGAATATTTTGATTATTTTTAGGTCAAAGATTCTTAGGGTTGCAAACACATGAACACAAACATGCAGAGTTTCAAATACACACACATACACACGCACACACACACATGCACACATACAAAGAGTTCTGATCATCGTTACATTTTTGTTGTTTTTGTTTTCCAGAACTGGAAGCCAGTAAAAAGCAGGCAGAGGCTGACAGAAAGGCCATTGATGATCTTGTCCGAGAACGAGATATCCTAAACAAGGTTAGTATAAATTCATTTCCTGTATATTCATAAATATTTCAATTTATTACATGCAGTATTATTCAGTAACTTTCTAAGTTAGTGATAACTTAGCATACTGTAGATGGGTGACATATGCTCTAACATATTTTCTGTATTCTACACAACAGAACATGCTGAAGGCAGCAGGACAGACCCAGAAGCAGCTGAACCTGGTGCGTCTCCACGAGCAGTCCAAGAAGAACCTGGAGCAGGAGATCCAGAACTACAAGGAGGAGGCTGCAAAGCAGCGCAAGATCATCTACCAGCTGGAGAAGGAGAGGGATCGCTACATTAATGAAGCATCCGAACTTACACAGAAGGTACGGTATTGGCCAACCTCAGATGGCTCTCAAGCAGTTTTTGCATGATTGTACTCTGGCCATAAGAGTGCAGTAAATCTACATGTGTATACTATAATAGATATTATGTGTATTAGAAGCTAGACCAAACATCATGTGCCATCAAGACAGGTGTTTATCTTCTTGATTGTTATCAAAACAGTTGCAGTGCAAAACTAGCAATTGTTTTGTTTGGCTGATTAGTACTGTGTAAATGCAGTACTAGTATGTATTAGCCCCAGTTACTACTAGTAGCTGCCAAGCCTACTAGCATTACAAGCTGCAAGTGTGTCTGTACAGAGGAGCATTTTTCACCCATAACAGTATACATATATACCATTATGAACAAGGAGAATATTCAGGTTTGCATTCACTGTTTTTAAAGTCTGTATGTAAATCTTTTTATTAGCTTTGCCTGCAGAAGAGTACAGTATATGGTACAAATGTATAGAACCCCTTTGTGTCAGCAGATACCAAGGTGCATTTGGAATAAGCAGGAATCCTGTTCTCAAAAATTGGTTCTTTTTACAAAAAAAAAACAACTTGTTTTTCAGTTGAAGCAACACAATGAAAATGCCAGCACCTGTTGGTGTGATGATTTTTCAGTGGACAAGAGAATGGAATTTATGTATGCTGCACTCATTTCAAATCTCACGTTTGCCACTTCTGTTTGCCCCTGACAGGTTCTGCAGCACATGGAGGATGTTAAGGTGCGTGAGATGCAGATCTTTGACTACAAGAAGAAGATTGCAGAGGCGGAGACCAAGCTGAAGCAGCAGCAGAACCTGTACGAAGCCGTGCGCAGTGACAGGAACCTGTACAGCAAGAACCTCATCGAGTCACAGGTTTGTAACCTTACTACAGATGTCTTCCTGGGATTGGTATGTTTTTGTACCATTGTCATTTACAACTTTTACATGCATGTCAAAATTTGTTTTAAATGGCATAAACATGGGATGAAGTAGTGTAACAGCCTTGCCTCATTTATATAAAGTACATTTTGGGGCTCTATGTTAGGTGCATTGTAGCTTCAGTTTCTGACATTACTAGTATGCAGAATGGCACTGCATGTAACTTCTAGGGAAGGTCAAAATGTGTTTTTCTGCCACCAAGTATAATTGCTATATCAGAACGATAATAAAGTCATGATCTTCTGATGGAAGGATGCAAATAGCCTGCAACTTTTGAAATGTCTACAGAACAGGCTTCAACATTACCTACAGTCGCCACTGTAAGAAAAATTCTCCTAAATCTGCAATCTGTTATTTTGCTAGAAAGTGATAGACATTAGCTCCATGCTGACTGTTGTGTGAGAATCAAATCCAGGATATATTCTGACATTGTTTCTACCCCCCTTACTCCTCCCAGGATGAGATCACAGAGATGAAGAGGAAGTTGAAGATCATGAACCACCAGATCGACCAGCTGAAGGAGGAGATCACAGCCAAGGAAGACGCTCTGGTCAAGGAACATCTGGAGCATGAGAGGGTCCGCAAGGAGAAGGAGGCTCTCAAGGTGTGTACAACTTCTGTCTTGGGATTTGCAGAAAGTATTTTAAAGACATGACTTCTCATTTGCTAGAAGGAATTACTGAAATCAGTGTTGATTTTACTTTCAAAACTTTTGATTTTACTCTTAAAACAGCATTATTTATTTATTGTCATACATGTACAATGTAATGTATTTATACTGAGAGTTTGCTTGTAATAAGCTGAGCTAGAATTGGCAAGATCAAACTACTTTTCAGAGCTGAAAATACTTTAATTTCCTGCTCTATCTTTTATGCAAAGCACCTAACATACTTGTAACATTTTCTTGTAACAATCCCTATAAATGGTAAGCAATCAAGTTAACTATATCATGCATGTATTCCCCCCCCCCCCAGGCTGAGCTGCAGCGTATGAAGCAGCAGGCAGCGGAGAGTAAGGCGTACATCGAGGCACAGGAGGCCGAGGAGCGCAAACTGCTGAAGATCATCGCTGAGGCTGACGCCGAGAGGATGAGGCAGAAGAAGGAACTGGACCAGGTAAGATTATCAGACTGTGATGTTCTCTAGGAAAAGTCTGGGATATTCAACTTATATTTTGTAGTAACATAAACCACTCTTGTTTGTCACAATACCCAGTATATCACAGAATTTTGTCTCTGTGTCTGACAACAATTTGCCTGCCCTTGACAGGTGATCAGTGAGCGTGACATCCTGGGCACACAGCTGGTACGCAGGAACGATGAGCTCGCCTTGCTGTATGAGAAAATCAAGATCCAACAGTCCACTCTCAACAAGGGTAAGGCAGCTGATACAATCTTTTCAACAAATATGTCTTCATTTGATGGTATATAAAATTAATGTATACAGGCATCCATAGTTGAGCACTCTAAAGTACTGTTATTGTATCATTGAAGTTGATCTTAAAAAGTTTTATAGTTTATATACCCGTTATGGGGCTTTGCTCAGTATAGAATGAAATACAGATTCTTGCATTAATTTCTTGAAGCTGTGTGCATTTCTGTGATGCCCAATATTCTCTCAGTTTTTGTGCTGCTAAGGCCCACAAAGCAATATGGGTAGGGGGGTGAAGTGTGCCATCTCTGATTGCCTTGTTTGCCTGACCAGGTGAGATCCAGTACAGACAGAGACTGGAGGATATCCGCCTGCTGAAGCTGGAGATTAAGAAGCTTCGCCGTGAGAAGGCCATCCTCACCAAGAACTGTGCCAACGTGGACGATCTCAGGTCTGTTCAAATACTTAATTGATCATGTGTCATACATTTTTAGCTCCAAATTTTTAACAATTATTTACCTAAGTCTAGAATGATTAAGTATAGGTTTGATTTTTAATGGCTAATAATTCTGAATACTAGAAATTTAAAAACTGTGGATTGCAACCGAAACAAAGTTAAACATCATCATCATCATCATGTCGGGAGTTGTAGTTCCCGGTCCCAAACCCTCTCTCGCCAGTCCACTTTGTCCGTCATGGCGCTCGCCAGGTACTCCTTTGGAAGACCCACATCAGCAGCCAGCAGGTCTATGTACGTCATACGAGGACGCCCCGGTTTAGAATGCCCTTGTTTGGGCTCCCACAGGATCAGTTCACTAGCTAGCTCAGCCTTATTTCTGTAGACATGTCCTGCGAAACCTGTTCTCCGCTGTCTGATAAGCTCAGACACAGCTGGAATGTCTCCGTAGAGCTCCTCCTTGGTAGGATGTTGCTGCCATGACTTGTTCAATACTGCACGTAGCATCCGTGTGTAAGTTCCATCTAGCCTTTTTTCCAGCTTCTTTGTCAAAGTCCATGTTGGTGACCCATACAGCAGTACTGACTCTACCACTGCTCTAAAGAAGTTTCTTTTCGTGTTGTCAGGTAGAGAAGATTTCCATATTTCCCTCAGTTCTTGTAGCGCACTCCATGCTTTTGCTATACGGATTAGCACATCTTTTTCTGTGGATGAGATATCGCTTCCCAGGTAGCTAAACTGTTTTACTTCTTTTAATCGAGTTCCATTCAGGGTGCTGATCATGCCACTCTGGTTGAAGCAAATGAATTCAGTTTTCTTGGCATTTACATAGAGGCCAATCCCAGAGGCTGCCTCTTCTAGTGCATGCAGCAGTCTCTCTGCACCAGAGATCCAGTCAGCCAGTAGTGCAAGATCGTCTGCGTAGTCCGCGTCCGTGATCTTTTTGGCGGGGTGTCTTCTACTTCTTGCTGTTTGTAGGGTGAAGCCATAGTCTGCATGGAGGTCTACAGAAGTGCGCAAAACATAGTCTAGGGCTATAATGAACAGAAAAGGAGCCAGGGTGTCTCCTTGTAACACTCCTGCTTGTATGGTAAAGAAATCTGTATCACCATCCGGTGAGCGCACCATCGATCTGGTCAGCTTGTACATCATCATGACAGCGTTAATCGTTTCATCCGGAATACCGTACGCTCCCAGTATCTCTGCCATTTTTCCCCTATGTAAAGAATCGAAAGCTTTTGAGAAGTCTACGAACAGCAGAACTGCTTCAAGATTCTTTGCTTTCACCCCTTCTATAATTCTCCTCACTGTCAAGATCTGCCCTAGTGTTGACCTATGTTGCCTGAAACCATTTTGATTGGCACGCAGCACTTTTTCCATTACAGGTTGTATACGATTTCGAAGCATGGTGTTGTATATTTTTGCTGCGGTAGGCATGAGTGTGATGCCCCTATAGTTGGACGCAAGTGACAGGTCCCCTTTCTTTGGGAAAGGTAGAATACATCCTTCTGTCCATCCTTTGATCAAACTTTGCTTGTACATGCCGTTGCAACACATTAGTAGGATATCGTTGAAGTGTCCTGACTTCCACACCTCTGGGGGCACTTCATCTAAGCCTGCTGCTTTGTTGCCCTTCTGTTTCTTAAGTGCTTCCTCCAGCTCATCTTCTGTGAAAAGTCCCTTTCTAATAGGAAGCTCTTCCTCTATGATTCTCTGTACTGGTATGTTCTTGATAACCGGGGCCTTTCCTAATAGATTCTCAAAATGTTCTTTCCATTTCTGTAATCTCTCTTCCTGGCTTGATGCCTTGAGTTTTGCTTGGGACGATCGCTTTCTTCCACTGATATCGTTTACTGTTTGCCAGGCAAGAGCTGGTTGTTGGTTTTCCCCTGCCTCTCTAATAATGCTTATTTGTTGTTGGATGTATTTCTGTTGTTCACTTACATATGCT